GCTGTGGCCTTTCTTTACTCTGTTCACTTGTCGCAAAATCGCAACTTGCAGATATTATGTGCCACCAAACTCCCAACTTTGGCCCCAACTTCTAGCAACACAGTGACCGATTAAGCACCGAAAAGCACCAAAGCACATTCGGCTACCGTCAAACTCATGCTCCAAGCCATTGGTCTATTCTAGATCTGGATCGACCGTCGGTGTGGTAGCATGGCGTCGCCTGCCTACAGCACCACTTGGACAATACATTAATACGGAGTACTTTATGATGTGGCAGAGCTGGCAGGGCCGAGCCGAATCAAGTGCTGGGGAACGAAAGCTGGAAATACACTGGCAAGGCAACGCTACAGAGCCCACAAACTCAAAGGCAGTTGCCAACGGCGCTTATTAGCCGACTGAATTCTAGGTGACGAAGACCTTGTCCGTCTCTCATATCCGGTGTTGTTCAACCCCTTGGGGATTGGCTTGGCCACGCCCGACTATGCTTGTCTCCACAACCGACACGGTTCCTCCATTTCGTCCGTAATATGCACAGCAACTGCAACAGACAACAGGCTTCAGACGGTGCCCACAATCAAGCCGCTTGTTGCCATGTCTATTGCCCACATCCCACCTCCGGTTGGAAGGATTGCCCTCATCCGAGCTCTTGAACCACAAGCTAATTAATACCTCGTCGGCACTAATCTAGCCTCTTGCATGGAAGCTGCGTCATGCTTCCTTTTCAAACTCTCATACCTGCTCCAAGTTGCGCCTAGCTGCGCACAATGTGCAGAAACAGGCAAGAACCCGTTTAAGCTGAGCGAAGGCGGAGGAGCGGCACCAGTTCCCATAAGAATATGGATTAATTACTAGACCAGACACAAAAGGGAAAGGCAAAAAGCAAAACAAAAATCAAAAGTTCAAAAATGAAAAGAAAAATAATCTAACTGACACGGACCCAGGTCTCATTTAGTAGGAAACCCGGGTTTCCTTCTATCACTGGACCACCCACTGAACTGCCTGCCACACATCGAAAAGAAAGCGGGCACTGAGTGAATAGGCCAGTCCTGTTCACGCTTAAAAAGCCGTCTCCTGCAGCGTGGCGACCGAAGAGTGGGCCATGCAGACCGGAAGCCGGTACGTCGTATTCCTGGACTTGGTGACGAGGTTTAGGACACCAGGCCTCCAGCGCCGTTTGATCGTCAATGGAGACGAACAGCTCACCGGTTGACAGATTCTACAGACAATCCAACTGCTGTGCATGGTCGCTACGATATTTACACTTTGGAGTGCCCGTGTGGACATGCGCCGTTCGGAGTACTCCGCTGCATCATGCATTCGGACATGACATGGGTCCATTGGTCGGCCAGGCCACTCGAGGATGCTAAAGCCGAGAGGAAGGAAACCACCGCAATGACCTGCATTCCCAAGCTGGGTCTAGAAGTACTTGTCGTACTTTACTCAGGATGCCATTGTTTCCATCCAGGATGAACGTGGCAGGATTTTCTGTTTAAAATTCCAGGTGTTTTTATGTTGCGCGGCTGTTTCGCACCTGTCGCACAGTTCGTCCTTCCATAATACCATCATGATAGCGCCAGGTAAGGAGAGACAAGAAAGTCAAAGAAGAAAATGGAAACGCCAAGGATGTAGGTACTTTGATGCGCACAGAATGCATATACATGCGCATCGACATGTAGTTAACGCTGCAGGGACAAGCTCCATCCCACAAATGCACGAATGGAGCCTAGCAAACGGCCGAACAAAACCCCTCTCTCATGCTTCTTCCCCCCCCCCCCCCCCTTTTCCCCTCTTGCCTCCTCCGGAAAGACAAATATGTCTCTAACATAACTTTTATTCGTTCACCTCCACACCCATACCGACGAATTTATCACAGCAGCTTTGTAACCGATTATTTGTCCTAAGATACAGCCGCAACTACGCCCTACGTAGACAATGACTTTAATTTATTTTAGCCGCGCCCTGCGCAAGCTGCCGAAGCCACTCAGCTGGAGCATCATGATAAGGTTTCTTGTGCCCTTCTGTAGTTCAGTCTTTCACTTTCATTCATCCAGCCGCAAATCAAGACCAACCCGGTAAAATAGAAATAAATAGGAAATTCCGGGAAAAGAGGACAAGAAGAATCCGCCTTTGCAGTTTCTCAAGGGACATTATGTCACCCTCCGTCTTTGCAGTCGGGCTTCACAAGGCCATTGTTTCACAAACCCACAAACAATAAACAACAACGCTACTCTGGCCCCCAAGGGTATTTCTGTTTGTTACCGCCTCCGAGGTCGCCTTACATACTTACGATCAGTACCCTGCTTTTAATGATGCACGCAGCACATCTCACACATTGCTACTTTTGAAGAGGGCATGTAAAGTGTCGTTAGTAAATGGCATTCTTCAGGTGTTTTACCTTAATGGTAGGTCCTCTCCTTCTTCTTCGGAAGACAATATGCAAAGGGTGAAAAACAGCACACTTCAACGGATGGAGCACACCTTAGACCTTACGTTTGTCTCCCATTTTCAACCACCCTTACGAACGCAGTCTTTTATTATCTTTCTCAGCAGTAAGCTGCTTATTCGCCACATCATGCATACCCTTTCTATCCAACCGCCTGTAGCGAATCTCTTCCGGCTGTCCAAATAGCCTGGGGAAGTGCAAAGCCTGGCGCCGTCCGCTGTGATTTAGGGACAACCGTAAACAAAAAGCATGGCAGACCGGCAAGGACGGACCAAAAACGGAGGTGTCTTCGGCAGCTCTTTGTTTGGACGTCGAGTCTCTCTGACCTGCCCGTTTATGCATCAGCCTGCCAACACATTGCACCAGTAGAAATCTTGCATATTGCAACCGCACAAACGAACGTCTGCATGCTCGGAAGCGCAATGCAACGACAAAAGTAAGGCTAGATGCTGCTCCAAGAGACAGACTGGAATCGGTACGGGACTTCTGAAAGAGGTACGGACGATCCGAGATATGCATATGCCCCCAGTAAAACAGAGCAAAAGCGCCAGAGATCTCGTCAAGCAAGGAGCGAGACCTGTATGCCGTCTGAAAATGAATATTGTCACGCGAACAAACGGTCTGTACTGTCTGTGCTGATCATTGTAAGCGCATGCATTGCCCTTCCCAATTCACGGCCTTGCTGCAACGCTCTTTCCCTCTTTGGGTCATTCATGCCGTCGAAACTTTCGACGTTTTTATTTCCACGCCCCGGCCCCCGTTCTTTCCTAACAGCTAGCACTTTGCTCCCCTCCCCGTCTGTGAGCGGCACTAGCCAGGCAAGGGAAAAAAATCCACAGAGTACATTGCGTTTTCCTGCACGATGCATGCAGGTGCAGTCTGAAGAGCCACGCACACCCTCCCTCTCACTATTATTATGGCACATAGCCCTACACAGTTCTTCCTTGGAGACAAGAACATAAGCCTTCGATGGATTTGGGGTTGCCATCCTTATGTCTGCCGTCTGGCTACGCGTGCTCTACGACAGTTTCATCCAGTAGCTCTTTCCCTCTTTTTATGACCGATTTCCCATGCAACTACGTCCCCATTGCACCTTCCTAGAGTGAAACCTAATATAGACGCACAAGAAGCGGCTTCGGCTTTTAAGATTCAAATACCTACGCCACTCCGTCGTGAGGCGCGAATAAGGACTTTATTCACCAAACATGGGGTATGAGAAAATGGAAGGAAATTAAACAAACAAATAAACTGATAACTAAAATATATATATATATATATATATATATAAAAGAAAAGAAACTAAAGTACGTCTGCCGTCCGCCCAAACCGACTTCAAATACTCTGGAGAGGGCGGCATCAGAACGGAGCATTCCGAACAGAAAGAGCTTGGGAAACGTAGTAGAGAAAATAAGTTTTTAAGACGGACGGACTTGACTTGCCCTTTGACCCAAAACTACCCCATCGTTCCCACCCAATCCTGCAACACGCTTTAACCCTGGTCATGAAGCTCGTTCGCGTGCACATTTCGAGACAGAGCAAGACGTTGCAGCACGTAGGAAGCCATTGGGAAAGTAGCCCTCCAGACAAAATAGATTTTGAAATTTTGCAGTTTTCCTCGTCGCTCCTGCGTCTCGCCCGCTCCCTTGCTGCGGGCTGCTTGCTCCTTCTTTTGTAAGTTGTCACGCTCCATCCAACTGGTTGGATATGTCCATCGTCTTTTCTTTCCGTCTCGGGAAGCTCGCGTGTGCGTTTATATCAAAGAGAGCATCCCCAGTTATCCTCTCAGAAACCCATCGCCTTACTCTCGTTTTGCCGTCATCTAAGCATCACGTCTCTATCGTCTAGCTTACAAAGTGCCATCAACTGACTCTGAGGTTGCCATCACAAGCCTCCCACATCAACGAGCTCTCACGTTGGTGTCATCTAATTCTCAAGCAGCCACCACCCAACTCTCAAGTTGCCCTCAACTGCTCTCTTCCATTTTCGTCCTGCGAACTTTGAGCCTCTTTCGGGGGTATAAATAGTGCCCCCTTCAACCACGACCTCGCCTTTTGCCAAAGTCATCCTTCCAACCTATCACCTCGCCTTCTACATCTTTCAAGGCGATAGCCACATCCCTCAACCATTGCCATTTATTGAAAGGCCACACATGCACACGACCAACTGCGAAGCAAACTGTCTGGCGCTGTTGAAAGGGCGAAATAGCTTGTCTCTGCCGTGAGTAGCCCAATTTCTCACCGGGCGCTTGCTGTACTTTGTTTCTGTTTCTTACAAGAACTTCCTACTGACATGCGAACAGGTGTGCCGTGACGTGTTGTTTTTCTATCACCTCGTAACAAGGCGACGATCTCAAACGCCACAGCAACTACACTTGCTGCCAAGCTCCTTGAGCTTTTCGAAATACCCAAACAGAGTTCGACGAACCAGCATTATTCGACGACAGAAACCGTCATAGTCCCGGGATACAGTTCCTTGGAGAACAACTAAAAAGGGTACAATAGCGTTCAGGAGAACGAACCTTGAATATAGCAGTCCCGAATCTCACTCACGCACCGGAATGGGATCCCTGGATGACAGCCAGCCATGTGCTGGCTACTTGCAGGCACCTGGCAACTTGCCATCTCGCCTATCGAGCCCATTGGCCGAGCTGGGTGCCAACGGATCCGGGCCACTTCACGTGTATCTCAGCACTGCCGAAGTCAAGGCTCTGGAACTAGCGCTTTCTGCTTTCAAAGGTATGTCATCAATGGACGGCTTCTAAGCCCTAGGCAAATTCTTCGGAGGTGTTATATATCATTTGTCCCATTTGCGAGCCAAGTTTGTTGTTATCGTATTATACCTTTGTCTTCTAGGTATACTAACAACGAACCATAGCTCTCCAAATTGACGGCCACGAGATCTGCAAAGACAATTTCGTGCCGCCCGCCAACATCCGCGATGCTCTTTTCGCAGCTTCAAACAGCCTCCACAACGCTACGGGCGTTTGTATCGTCAAAGGGCTCAACCCGTCCCTTTACTCTGACTCGGACAATCTCCTCCTGTTTCTGGGACTTGCCAGCTTCATCGGAGATAAGCACGGAATCCAGGATAAGAAAGGCAACGTGATATGTAAGTATCAATCAAACATTTCCGCCTCATATCACTACAAAGTTACCATAAAACGAAAGCAAAAGATTCCAGGTCCATTTTATCTTCAAGAAACGGCCGTCTTTCCTGTCCTCGATAACTAACTGAGGCAGCACATATCACCGATGCGAAGACGTGGACGGTGCCGTATGACAAACGACACGGTGCCCACACAAACCAATCGCTGGTATGTCCTTATTTACCTGTCACTTTGTTTTTTTACGATTTCGCCCCATATAGGGGCTTGTTACCTATACATTTTATACCCTTAGTGTTGAACTGACTATGACGTAGAAGTGGCACAGTGACATGGGTACTGACATTCTGGCCCTCCAAGTTCGCCAAGTTGCTGCCAAAGGAGGGCAAACTGTGGTGGCGTCGTCGTGGAAGATCTATAACGACCTAATGCTTGAACGCCCTGATGTTGTTCAGGTCCTTGCCAAGCCAGACTGGCCCGTCCACATGTAAGTTAACGCTAGCTTTTTTTTTTTAAAAAAAAAGAGCGATTTTGATTTAGCAGCATCGTCTCCAGCCGTTTATTGGATTTGTTTTCAACAGGTCACTAACCTCACAAACGTTGTAAGGTCTGACCGCAAGAGTCGCTACACCCTTGCTCCGCTATTGGTTTTTGAAGACAACAAGCTCCTGCTCAGCTTTGATCCCAGCCGCCTTGGAGCACACCCCGCCATGAAGGCAGGCCGGTCGTCGCGTGCAAAGCAAATCCCCGAGCTCACGCCGACCCAAATCGAAGCACTCAGCGTCGTTTCCGCCATTGCCGACCGTAACAGTGTCAAACTCGACACCGACCCCGGCGATTTGGTCTTCATCAACAACTGGGCCGTCTTGCATTCGCGCAGTTCGTACGAAGACGCGTCTAGTGGCGACGCGACCGGACTGGCGACCCGTCGCCACCTTCTTCGCCTCTGGCTCCGCAGCTCGGAGTTGGGCTGGAAGATTCCGGAAAGCATGCGTGCTCCATGGGAGACGGCTTTTGGCTACACTGACGAAGGATACATTTCGGGAGACCATGAGCAGGTTGTTGCCCGTCTCAAATATGCGGTTGTACCGGAGGCCAAGTACGAGCCGCCCAAGTACACGACTGGATCTGCCACTTTTGTCATTGAGGACAGTGGCAGTGAGACTGAGGAGGACAACGAGACGGACTGATTTGTGGCGTCTGCTACAACCGCTCTCATCGCGAGGCTAATACGTTGATTTTATGGTTGCGATGATTTCCTTGCTTAGTTTTTTACCCAGGTAGAGTTCCAATGTCACTCTTCGCCTTATTTAACTGACCTGCATAATGATGTCTTGCACACCTGGCTATATTTCCCTTGTTACGTTGTATCAACACCACACTTGGGTCTTTTACAGGACACTCTCTTTGTTGTGCCACAGCCTACATTACCGCTTAAAGTATAACCATATGTCCAGAGCCTTGCCGACATAGGGCAATCAATCGCATTCTTTCCGTTTACTCCGAGCTCGATTGGAGACAAATTGATTCAAACATCCCGTGGTCCTTCCACCGTTTGCATAACAAGCGCTTTCTCTCCGTTTGGATATAAAACGTTTGTCACTCGTACTGTGTCCATGCCTGCTGTCCATAACTCTTCCGCAAGAAAGCGAAGCCGGTTAATTCCAATGCCCCTTGTGATAGTTGGGTACTATGTCATACCTGAACCCGACACTTTTACCAAATGAAAAAAGGTAACGGAAATAATTGACAATTTTACCTTCTCGCGGGTTGAAAGTCCATCAGGTTTCCCCCATCCTCTGCCTCTCACTGTAGCTGGCAAGTACATACCGTCTAATAACCGCAGAATGTTAACTGACATAAAGTCACTTTATGTGAGTTTTCCGCGATAGCCGCTATGAAGGACCGGACACTTTTGTCTGTCTCAGAAAGTCGATGTCCCAGTGCTGCCCTTCTACCGGGGAAGCATATTGAAATTTCGCGCAGAAACTCTCCGAATATGCAATATCCTAGATGTCCATAAGACCATCACGTCTTGATGTGTCCATTATGAGTCTTTTGCAAAGGCGGCTTCACGAAGCCTGGACGTTTGTATGGCCATCAGAAGCCTTCTTCATTGATGATGTCAATATCAAGAACTGGATTCACTGCGCTGAACGGGTAAAGCGACGTTCAAAAGCCGCGCTACTTTTAAAACAAAAATAGAAAAATAGTCGACAGGTCGCATTACACACGGACGTTTCTCCAAATTAGAACAGCAAGGCATGGCAACTGGGGCCACCAGATTCCCTGACTTCCCCTTGTTGTCGGGGAATGGCTCAAACTAGCACCTGCTAGGCCCTTTTGTGGAGACGGACCTGGACCTCGAGCTCCACAACACAGATACAATTATGTACCGAATTAACATGTACAGTTTTACAGCTATACTGAAGTATATATAAGTATCACACTAGTATACAGTCTATATAAACTTTTCGCATACAGTATACTTTTCATCTGACGCCCACTCTCTTGTCCATAATTTTTCTATTTCATTTATGACGATGTGAAGTCCTAGATATAATAGTCAAAGTGAATAAATTGGGGCCCTGTCATTGAAGAGTTGTCCACCAAAATCAAAGATGGCGCTAGACGCATGGCTAACACGCTTAGAAACTGGTTGAAGTATAGGAATCAATATCAGTTATGTGCTCGGGTGAAGCGATAAAATTATGTGCCAATCAAGGAGAGGCCGTCAGTGCACGTACACAGTAAAATACGGTGTTTTGTGTGCGAGAAATGTCCCGGGTACCGGGCGGATGAGGTACCCGCTTTTTCTTTCTACTCTGATGGAACCCCAAAATCAAAACGCGCAAGACGGAGTACTCCGTCGGTCGATCCAGAACACGGGGGACAAGTTTGGTGCACGGCCATAAGGGGCCGGTCAAAACAAAATCCAATCACAGGGGTTTGGCATTTATTAAAAAAAAAAAAAAAAAAAAAAGGTGTGGAGAGCATAAGACTATGAACTTTTCTTTTGCTGGTCGATGGCCAGAATCTGTCGGTCGTAGTGCTTTATGGAGGACGGAGTTTTGCACTCTCGGACCCTCGCACCGTAACACATGTCGATTTCTTTCTCCAAGAGTGGTGGTCATGGATCTGCGACTAGGAATTGTGTCCCCTTTCCCATTTCTCCACATTGACGCCTGTCAAAATTGGCCGAAGAGAGAGGCAAACGAAAAAGATTCACAAAAAGCAAAGGAGAAGGCGACAAACGCAAGCATTCCGCACTCTATTCCGCCGAAAAATGGGCCACTTTGTTGTTGCACCAGTGTTTGTAGTCTGGACAAATCTATGCAATGAATGCCCATCTCCGTTTTATTGTGAGAATGGTAAGCGGAGCCTAGTGGCGGACCGGAATTTCACTCCTAAACAAGAATCAGGCCACTCTCCCCGCTATTTCTCAGGTTAACTAACCCAGAGAAAACAAACACACCTCTTCTCTCCCGCCCCGTCGCGTCTTTCCTCTTTGTACTGCGGCAACGATGGCTGTTACGTCGAAGATGTCAAATGTGGCCCTCCCTGTTGGTATCCGTACCGTTTGTTTTGAATACTTTGCAGAACCACTGCAGCATACGCCATTCCGAGCGTCTCCTCTTTTTAACTTGTTAACCACACACCCGAGTAATTGCCGGCTCAGGACTGGCCTGCTTCTGTGCCTTAGTTACTTGCAGAAAGTGATCTAAATGTTCCGATTCCAATATCATAACCAATCGTCGATACAAATGGTATCGGTTGCGATGCGAATGGGGGGCTAGAGCGGCTCTGACGGCACCTGCTGATGGGGAACGGTGGTCATTCTTCGTAAGTACGAATATTTCACCTGATGACTTAACAAATACAGATTGTTTTGGCTATCCTCGAAAGAGAAACGACACTACCGGAGTACATGTGCTGGCCGGCGAAGGAAAGCTTGGTTACCAAGGCTTTGCACTGAGTGCTTAGAAGCTTTGCGGGCTTGTATCCTTCCTTCTTCAGTTTCCTTCTTTGTTTCTTCTTTTTTTTTTTTTTTTTTTTTTTTTCCCCTCTCTGGCTGTATGTTCACTTTCTCTTTTACTGAACATTCAACGAGCCCGTTTGATCTGTCATTGTGCCATAATGTTCGTTGTGCCTAGGCCAAAGCCAGGTCGAAGACAGTAATGTACACGACCCACGTTGCCGCGAAGGCGTACGTAAATATGAGCAAAACTGTTGACGAGACGGCCGTGCAAAGGTCGCATGTTTATGGGCAACTTGTTGCGCTGTCGATCACCATGCGTTTACGATTTTCCATTTTTGTACTAGCATAAGTTGTTGGCTTTTCTTTCTTTCTTTTTCTCCGTCGTCTTTGTTTTGCTCCTCACCCGATATCCATCCGAGACTTGATCAGCATGATGAACAGAAGCATCATTTTATTCCTACTCCGGTGCCACTCTCATCGATGTCAAGCTTCCACTGTGCCTCATCTCCAGTTGCCACACTAATCAAAGTCTGGTCCATTTTTTTCTATTTACTCGCTCCCGACGGACCAGACTGGCAATTTGGACAGCCCGTGTCAAACTATGTGGCTCTGAGCCTCGCCGACCAGCCAAGACCGGCGGGTTCCGTTTGACATATTGTTTTCCCCTTTCATGTCCGTTCCCCCCCACCGCCCCCCTTTTGCTCCTCTTGGTGCCATCGTCGATTCTCCTTTGCCACAAGTGCACTCGCCGCCTGCTGAGAAAGGGTTGTTAGATTGACCAGATTTTCACCGTAACAGCAATAACACCAAACGCGAAACACCAACTAGCAACCATCTGTGTTAAAATCCCGGTAGGGCCGTGGCTAGGTCGTCCGGCATGATACCGCAAACGCAAAGGTGCGGTTCTGTTGGTTTACCCGTAGCGTTCCTCGGTCTGACTGACAGGTCCCATGCTCCATCCGTAATGGCCACTCCCGCCGGTTGTGTTTTGTCACGTTTGCATTCTAGATGACTCTGTCCGGCATGGTTGACTCGCGAGACAGCCCATTCGGCGTTTCTGGGCAGCGGACAGGAGAATGAAAATGGTTTATTCCTGCCAAGGCAACCGACCTCCAAACTAGTTTTCAGCCTGCTCTAGTGCTGGAGTAAAGAGCCTCTTTTCCTCTTTGTGTCTTTTGTCTTTTTGTCTTGTTGTCTTTGATGTAAAGGAGGCAAAGAGGAAAGAGGCAAAGAGTAAAGAGGGACAGCAACAGACTCATGGCGTTTGGATCCCGTTTGTCAATCTCGGCCTAGTCTGTAAAGTCTACCCGTAATCACAAGTCCGCCCCCTATGGCCGCAAGTATCCAGTCCCAGCATCCATTTTGCTGGGTATTATTAGATTAGACGCAAATGTTCGTACGGGATAATCCCACGCTCAGCCCCGAGTGTGCCGGTTTGTGCTCGTCCAGCTCTCATATTTCCACTCTTCCGAGCTTCCGCGTACTTTTGGTGTTTGTTAACAGACATCCATCTGTGATGTGTAATGTACTTGTTTTGACATTTGACATTTGGCAATTTACATTCGCCGTTTGCTGCACGCTACAGAATAGCAAATTTAACTGTGCCCGTCATTGCGATGAATTTCCTTCCAGTATGTACTGGAGATGTCCCTTGTCTCAATCGCAGTATGCCGCCAGAATGCCAAAAAATACTTCAATGCAAAATGCAAGTGCTTCTTAAGAATTGTGGCCTCGTCGTAATGGGATATTCACACGTCAGTCAACGAAAAGATTTCAGTTCGTCACGGACGAAGTACGTAGCAGAAAAAGTAAGAAACAAGCCCCTTGCCAACCCCAACAAGAGGATCCAAAAGAAAAGCTGCCAGCGAATGGAGCCTTTCGTGGACATGTACACACCCAGTTAGATTGCCCCAGTCCTTAGTCTTGCGGTTGTGGCAGTCCGAATACGCCCGCAAGCAGTCCCTACGTTCATACTTGCCATTGTCCTTTAGGAGCGTGGCCCCCTACGATGTACTCTTTCTCCTGGCTCTGTCATTCGCCTTGCAACTCTGTTGCCCTTGGGGACCTCGCCGTCCTAGCATCATTAGTGCTCCTACTGGTGCTCCTACTGCGCCCATGGCCGAACAGCACATTTCCTGGGCCTGAAAACGTTGTACAGGGTTGTAGTCTGATCGGGCTGGCCCCTCATGGCAGCCATATCGAATGTTTATTCAAAACAGGATAGCTATCGGCTGGCCACTTGCCACACAGTGCTTTAAGATGTCCGGGCAAATCACCACACTTGTCTTCAAGGTTTCTGATTTCGGATATTTGATTCCAGGGCCGGAGTAACGAGCAGCTTTTAGATCTCTGCCGTAACGATACCGTCGATGCTTGCTGATGTTTCTCTTGTCCTCCCTCCCTCCTTTCCTCGCTCTTGCACATTGTCCTCCAAGCCCAGAGAATCGCGTACGGACAGGCATCCGTTCATCTAGTCTTGCATGGCCGCCATACTGATGAACATGGATCGGTAGACTGCCAAAAATAAGTGCGCGAGGGCGTCCTCTTTCCTTCTATCTGTGGACTATGTAGTAGACTCACCGGTCCAAATCTTATGCCTCGTGCAAGTGGCTCGTTGTCCGCTTCTTTCCATATGTACGAAGTACGGCATGTTGTATGGTCATTTTAGCTCCTCATATTGCCTTACACGGCACACGGTACCTCCATCTTCTTTGAATAGTCTCAATTCCATTTTGTTCCCCACCCACTTCTTTCACATACTTCTTCTTCTCTTGAATCATCACTCTTCCCGACGGCACTCCAAAAACACGCCACCCTTGCGGACCAGCCATCATCTTCCTGGTGCCCTGCAATGCTACCTACGAAACGCAAGTGTTCCGGATGTCGTAGCAGCTTATTGCTTCTCTTTGCCTAATGCGACGATTCAATACGCCAATGCGCATAATTGTGTGCTTCCACCTGCAGATCAGCCACTGCAACGACGACAACACAGAGACGTGCATCGATGCGACAGGCTGCCAACTGTCTGTGGTAACACAACATTACGGCCTTGGCCACTTTTTAAAGTATCTGGTGCCAGTTGTTTTGAAGGGGGATATACGTTGATGCACATATCGGTCTTTTAAGTTCTCTTCTCCGTGACTTTTCCTCCCGAGCCCGTTTTACTTGGGTTCTTTATATTCACCCCCGTCTCTTCTCGGGTTGGCAAATCTTACAGACTCCGCGAATCATAGTGCCACTTGCCTCCTGTCCTTCAAAGCCTCCATTACCTGCTCACAGGCGAAGATGTACTTTTTGTCACATCAACACCATGCATTCACGAGTTCGGTAGCCCGCCAACAAACGGCGCAGATCAAGCTACGAAACCAGTGCGGCTTCCGACAATACATCGGGCGCCTTCAGTTCCATTAGGGGACAGGGCTGCGAGCCATTACGTCCTAACGATAAACAGGGTGCTGTCCCTGTACATGAGCTTGAGAAAATAGTAAAGCTCGCGACAGCAAAATCAAACGGCAGTCGAGCTCCACAACGGCCACTGCTACCGAGCGGTGGCGAGACAATAGTTTAAAGGATGCAGAAGTAGGGAGAGGGGTCTTGGTCTTGCTGATCTGGTCTGGTCAATGCACGGGAGCCCATCCCCAGGTTGTTCCCTCATGTCCTGTCCATGAGCCCAATCCACATGCAGAACCTCAAAACCTCAGAACCTGTCGTACCAGGATTCATCTATCGTGGCCAAACCAGCAAGCCACGGGTGCCCTCTGATCTCAAGTTCATTCTTCCGCCGACCCCCCTCTTACTCCAGCGAAATCGGACGTCGCGCCCCAGATCCATCAGTCTCTATGATTTCTCACGTTGCAGCACAAATATGCGTGTCATGGACCGAACTGTCAGTGGTAGGGCATGTTGGTTCTGATTACAAATAAGACAGCACGGGATATTTGCTGTCCTGTAAACTGTAGACATTCTTCGATTTTTCGACATTCCATTGCCTGTGCTCGCAGAAGGCACAAAACAGAGCATACGCCATGTTACTATCTTGGTCCATCTGTTGAATCAGACGATACCAAACAAATAACACCGTCATGAGCTGCTGTTCATTCTATCTACAGTACAGTATCCAGGACTCTCTGCATTATAGGCTCTCGGCTTCACACCACTTCCTTCTGTTGCCACTACTCCCTCACACAATTGTTCGTTGGTGTGTCTGCGCCTGACGGGACATCCCATCACAACCATCATCCCTGCTTACCTTCCATCGGCCAATACCTCATTAGTCTGAATTGCGTAGTCTCTCCTCCGGCCAAACCCCCATCCCCTCCTCTTCCTTCTCCTCCTTACTTTACTTCTTCTTCACGATGCCTTCCAAATGTCTACTCTCGGAACCTCCTTCTAAACAGACCAAGGCTTGTCCCATACTGCCAATTGTAACTCTTCCCAGAACAAGACACCCAAGTTCTCTGAGCTCTTCCTTCATCTTGGGGGCCGCGGCCTGCCCGGGTCAGCATCATCCGATGGGTGAGTGTGTTTGACCCCCGCTACCTTCACACCCTCTCACTTGTCATCTCGCTAGTACCCTTCCTCCCCTCCCACACTCTTCATCCACTAAATAACGGAGTAGACTCGTCCTTGCCTGTGAAGCAATATAAGACTAGACAGTTTCATTTGGTTAGTGGTTTAGTGCTTTCTGAAATTATGTTATAGTGAGAAATTCCAGAACATGTCACTTATAGAAGGAGAAACTACGTCCCGACAGTCTGCATACTGTTTGGCACTTCGCGGGCACCTGAAGTGTCTGTAAAGGCCAAAAGGCTTTTTGTTTGGGAACAGGACGTCTGGGGTTTGTGTAAAAATTTCACCTGTATTTTGGTGGCGTTTTCATCATTCCTCTCGCTTCGCCGAGTTTGTACAATGTACTTACTTTGTCGTTTCAGGGGCAGCTAAAAGGTTCTTCTAACGCAGCTGGCCTTATGTTCCCATGCACCTGACGCCAAAAAAAAAAATCTTCTTCATTCAGTCTGCACAGACTGGTCTACTCGCCTATTTATCAGGCGCTTCTTTTTGATCACCTCTCTATCCACAGCGCAGTGTATGTTGAGTTGAGAAAAGACACCGGACTGGACTTTCAGGTACTTGTACATGGCCAGCCAGGCAAGTACCATCTCATAAAACATGCCCAGGTCCCTGCTCAGCCCAGAGCTGGTCCTGTGAAACATTTATTGGATAATCCTTGCCCTTTGTCGTATTGATTTTTTTTATGTTGTATTTTATTCTACAATGACCTCCGATACCCAATACCGTCAGGAAACATGTCTTAACTCCTCCCCAAGGACCTGCACCTCAGATATACCTTCCCATGTACGAAGTATTCCTTTGGTATTTGTATCATCGACATTTTCAAAAGCACCGCTGGTAGCCGGCAGTGAGGCTGAAGGTTGCATACGCCGCAACAATACAAAGACGAGAAACACAGAAGGCAAGTCGAAAACCACATACAAGACTCCAACCAGCCCACAAGAGCATCTGGTGCAACAAGACAGCAACAAGAGCAGCAACACAGGCCGCTCAGATACAAACTAGGTTTTTTATTGCCAATAGGAGTCCGTATCAGGCAAACGACATAACCACGACAGACACCCTCACGTCTCGCAACCAGCCGAAAGCCTTCTTGGCCTTGATTCCATTTCCCACAAAGCATAGACATACCGTGTCTCCCCTAGCACCACTCGGTCCAAAAGACATATGCAGAAGGCGTGAAAGCTTCTATTCCTTCAATATTTCTATGCGGTCTATGTCTGATAAATGTGCTCAAGTTGAACAAAGGAAGAGGGAGGGTGTGGACGGATGACAATGGAGTGAGGAGACGAGGAGGGCTAGAGGTCTGCATCCCTCGCGATATGCAGGTATGCATGTTCTACGAGATGCAGGGCGGCTTGAGACAACGCAAAAAAAGCAAACGAAAGATGCGGGAAGTGTGGGAGGGACGACGGATGGAGGGGACGGCAAGCGGATATGAGAGGATGGATGCTGGGAGAAACTAAAAAGTGTGTGGCCAACTTAGCAATGTTGCAGATCAAACAAAAGAGGAGGCCGAGCAGAAAGACAGAACGAAAAACGCCAGTTGCCGCACTTTGCGTTGTTTACGCACACTCACCCCCATCCAGACACATGCACGATATACCTCTATGCCGATGTGGCCTCCCCCCCCTTGCTTTGCGAGCACGACACAACTGCCCACTTGCCGTTCCACGCCCATCTACGCGCACCCGAGTCGCCTCCGCCGCCATCTGCCTTCCGAAGCTCCTCGTCCTTGCCTGCCGGCAGGCCCACGACCACATCCGCCTTGCACGTCCGCAGTGCCAGCACATTGAGGCCCGAACCCGGTCCCAGGGGACCAATGGCTTCGACAAACGGCGTCGTCGCTTCCCAGTCGACCTGTCATAGTAGTCGGAAACGGTTAGAACGGGTAGAGACGAGCTTGGGAAAAGAAAAAAGAACAAGGGAATACATGGAAGGCGTCGTGATATGATGAGGAAAGACGCGGGAGACATACATCGCTCGTCAGCTTTCGGTAATTCAGGTCGCCCTTGAAAATGACCAGCTCGCTCGTCTTCAGGTCCTCGTACAGCGCCGGTGCCTCTTTGGGCAGCCGCCAGAAACTGCCGGGCTGGGTCCAGAAGATGTTGGGCCGCAGCACCATCTGTCCGTTGGCGTAAAGCTGGCTCCATTCGCCAAACAAAAAGGACAAATCGGCCTTCTCGGTGTCCGTCAGTTTCTCCGGCGCCGGCTTGCCCTGCAGCTCCTCTTCTTCGGAGGGTGTCTCGTAGAAATGCTGCGGGTTCGCCAGCGCATTGAGAAGCGCTGCAAAGTCGCTAGGTAGCACGTCAGAAACGAACCAGGGGATGTTCTTGGGGTGCAGCACGACAACCGTAGCCAGGCCTGCGCGTAGCAGGTAGCCTGCCAGGATGAGGTCGACGTAGAGCTCAAAGCCCGCGTTGTCAAGCACAATGTCGATGCGACGCTCGGGGCTGCTGCTGCCTGGCTGTCTGCTGCTCGCTGACGCAGCATCGCGCGCCTTCGTGAGCGTCTTGTAGGCCGTCGGCAGATCGTTCACTAGGATGTTGGCCTCGGCCTTGCGGCGCGCCTCGGCACCCTGAAGCTTCTGGATATCCTCATACGTCAGGTTGGTGAGCAGCGAGAGGTCCGTGGCATTGCCCCAGAGGCAGATTTCACACATCTCCGCGAAAAGCGTCTCCTCAGCGGAGGCAACAGTTTCTGCGTCACCGCTCTTGTTCGCCTGGTGCGCCTCCAGCTGCTTCATGAGCTCACGGTACCGCGCCGCCAGTTCGAGCACCGCCGGCCGTGACGAGCGGAATGTACGGATTTTTTGCCGCGCAAAGGGATCATAGCGCGTCCAGTGCGTCGAGAGCCGGAAGTAGGTGCTCATGCGCCGGAACAGATAGCACTCGGCGAACAGCCACGGTGCCCTGAGCCACGAGAGGGGGCCCAGCTGGGTAAGCTCAGCGTTGTATGCAGCCACATCAGGCTCGCCGTCGTCGTCAATGGGTCTGTAACAGGGTGTCAGTGTCAGCTGTGTCCTTCTCGTGCCAATGCAAACCCTGATTTTCTCGGCCTTCCGCCTCTCCTCGCTTCCCCTCCTCCCAATAGACGTCACTCACTCGAGCTGCCGGTCGTGCTGCACGTCGTACTTGAGGCGTGCAATCTTCTCGACGATAGCCTTGCCCTCGGCCTCCTTTTCCTTGTCGTCGCCGCACTCGTGTACAGAACGGTAGACATCATCGATTGCTTGAGTCTGGCCGAGTTAGCTCCATTCCGGACACTCGTCTTTGTCAACGGCGACCCTGCGACTCACCAGGATCACTGGCCAGCGCTCGCGGGCCGTCTGCCAGGCAAAAGACGTCTTGTCGCCCGTCGAATAGGCACCTTTTGAAACGTCAGCAAACAAGCGCAATCGAGGGACAGTAGGTTGATGTAAAGGATGAAAGGTTGGCGTAGCAGCTGCAAGGTAACTTACGCCTCGTTATCTCGGGTGCCATGGTGTCGCAATGTGGCTGTTGCGTCTGTCTATTGCTGCTCTTGGATGGCCGGTGAGGAGGAGGTGGGATAAGGCTGTCGCTGTTTGTGACCGCCTGTGCCTGCATATTCCAAGAGCTCAGGTACCTCTCTGGCGGGGCAGGCGCGACACCACTTTTTCTGACGCAATGGCAAAAGCTGGAGGAGGTGGGTTAGGTGGGTTAGGGTGGCAGGCAATTTAGCGGCAAAATGACCCCACGTCGAGGCCCGCCAGGCTAATGACAGCCCGTCATATTTGGTAAATTCTACAGGGGCTCGAGGGGCAAAGCACATTGCTAAATGCCTGGTCATCGCATTGTCAACTCTTTACGATACTAGTAAATCGTCAAACTCAACATCATCAAATTCTACGACTGTCGACTTGTGAACTACTCTACGATAATCATGACGACTGTACTGCATCTACTGTCCCGGATCCAGGTAATTGCGCCTATGTATTTGCTATATCACTTCGAGCGGAACTATTTCACCCACCAACGGTCCAAGTGATCATCGACCTCTTTTGGCCAACAGGAGTATATCTCACATTCGGGTTCGTCCCGTCGAGTATCCCTCCTAGCCGCGTTCCAGACTCAAATATCATCGCGCCGAGCAGTGCCATAAGGGCCCATTGCAAGGATTATCCTAGGCTGCATCGGTATCCTTTCCGTATAGCTATGTCATAGATCGCGCTTGCCAGGTCTTGACAGATGAGATAACGAGCATGCCACCGGTCGACCCCCTTCGTGGCAAGCCCTCGTCGACTGAGTATTTATATTCTAGCAACCGTTCTCTCAACTTAGCCCCCATCACCAACACATCTGGGTCCCATCAACTTTAAACGCGACAAAGCTGTCCTAGAAAGCGTGTTCTAATCTGTGCCGACCTGTGTTATGCTCGGGGACGCTCGACCGTGGCTGATGAGCTGGTAGATAGCTGCCAGGACTCGAAGGCTATGCCAGGAATCTGTGTCGATCAGAACTCTTCCATACCGGTTGACACACCGAGCCCAATGGGCCGTAACATACGAGTATCTGAAACCGCCTCTTGACGGTTTCCACTCGCACTGTCACGATACCAGTATTTACGCTGAGCTTGTCCTTATCGATAGCACTCTTATGTTGTATTTTTCTCTTTTCACAAAAATTCTTGTAGAAGAATAAAACCACAACAACTAAAACTATTTTGTGCCGGGGGAATATAAAGGAGATGTAAAAGATCCTCGTTTTCCAATTATATCCAGTTATTCTTTAAAGAGGACTAACGAGGTTGATTCAGCGTAAGCATCTCGGATATGAAAACTGCCGAAGTGCATCACCAAACCTGGCACCAATACATTGTGGCTTCACCAAATCACACTAACAACTAATATCTACTATAGTCTTTTGCGTCTCTGCGAGCCTCATTTTCACATGACGTTGAAATTAAGTTGAATTTTGACACCTTTGGGATTTCTGTGTAACTTAACCTCAGTTCCACCAGCCGTGTCCCGTCCCAGCAACTAGTTTGCCTTTGTTACTGTGTATTTTTGCCCAGTTTCTAGGGGGTCATTTCTTCGAATTGTTTTGCTAGACAACGATAGGCACAGCACATGAAACCTTGGCGTTCAATTTTGTTTTCTAGACTGTGCCTGCTACTGCGTTGGGAAATTGACTTTGAGCTAGTCGGTCTATTACTGGTGTATGTTCAGAATCATAACAACATTATCACCTAATTTGCCCAGTTGCATCAGTTCTGCCATTTAACCCGAGAGACCAAGGGCAATTATTCGCAACGTTTGCCCCGTATGTCAGTGTCTTTACAGGCACCATTCACTCTTCCTGCTTGTACGACGTACGCTAGATGCAAAGAGGAAGCTCTTTTCTAATTATTATCCCACTTTCCTTGTGCGACAATAAGTAAACAGGGTCCGTTGATGCCTTTCCTCGTGATAAGCTATAAACCAACTTTGCACATCTGTAGATTTGGCCTTATGAAGACGTAATTTGTGTCACGAGGCTCTCTCTGATTCTACATGGCTCCTAGCGTCGCGAATTTTGGAGACACTAATCCGTACAATTTGCATGAGCGGTAATGTTCATGATGGCTCCACGTGCAGTTGATGGCAGCTCGCTGTAGTAAATACATTTATGCCCGTATTTTCACTCTCTTTGTATTGAAATCTTGCTTACTACTCATAGTAAGTCTTCGTACGCCGCGTTCATTGGTCTTGTCATTGTTGACGTTTAAGAAATATGACGTTCTGTCAATGCATAACCTTTGATTGCTCAAATGAGGTAAATTTCCATCGCTAACACAAAGCCTAAACTCATACGCCGCCGTCATTTCTATACATAACAATTCCAGACAAATATTCATAACTCACGAGAGGCCATAGAAGCTCTAACCAGTACATGCAAACATGTTTAGCGTGCCCTGTCGCCGCCAATCTCTAATGCAAGCTTCCATAACAAATCCAGACACACCAAGCAAAACCAGACGCATAAAAGGAAAACAAAAGACAAACGGGAGACTGAGGGACAATGAAGTCGAAATGCTGCAAGTAAGAGGTCCATGTAGCCATAATTCGGCCAGAACTGGCGAGTCCATTTTATCGCCACCATTTCGGACATCAAATGATATTCAGAATCTTTCAAAGAACCGGACAGCGATGCGGCACAGGAGCCAGACAGTGCCGACAACGGAGAATACCTGAAGGATCTCTCCTAGGTACTGCGTTCGTACCTCGGTCTCAACGTATTCAGGCCGTTCGCCGTCTTCGACCTTGGCAGATGAGGCAGGTAGGCGGCCGGTTGACATGTACTGCTCCATGATGGCATCCTTCTCGTACCATCGGTCGCGCAACCACTGATCAAATGCTTCGGCCGTCTCAAGGGGAATGTCATCGACACGGAACCGGCGCCAGTGGAAGTTGACCGATTTCGGAGGCTGGCCCTCGAAGTACGTGCTCGAGAGCGAAAAGTAGTCCTCGCCGTACTTGCCACGGCTGTTGCTTTATCTTAGCATGCCATTCATTCCTAGAGTGTAAAGAGAAAAAAATTGGGAGAGTGAACTTACGGAATTCCCTCGTAGGCAACGGTACAGTCGTAGACATATTCGACAGAGCCTTTGAGCTCCGTAAGACAAAAGTACATGCCCGTGCTGCGTGGCAGCAAGATATGCTCTGGGTCCTTGTAGTTCATCTTTTGTGCCCACGCGGCAGATTTCCGGCGGCCATTAGCCGACGCGTTGGTGCCCTCAGGGAACAACAACAGCCACATAGGGTCAAGATATGTCTTCCCGTCGGCGTCCGTGTGCGGTGCACGAAGCTTCTCCAGACGGTGGGCCATGCGCGGCCGATCGACGGACATTTTGCGCGACATAAAGATGAATCCGAAGAACTGCATTCCGGCGCCGAGGATGGGGATATACTTGAGCGACTCCTTGAGGATGATGTAGATGAAACCGTCCATGCGGCGTTTGTTGGCGTATCCTACCCACCACAGATAGATCCAGTCGGTGTAGATCTGGTGGTTGGCAATCATGACCATGCGGTTGGGGAAGTCGAACTCTACACGGCCGTCCTTGGTTTTCCGGATCTGGCCGGCTACCGACTTGTCGCCGCTGATGCGGATGGTTGTCGGGCCCCACCAGTAGGTCATCGTTGCAATGGTGATGCCAAATAGCTGTTTAGTGTACGCCATATAGCTGTAGAACAAATCACGGTTGATCCAATAGAGAGGCGCGCCGACCCATTGCGTGAGGTGGATCCTATGCTGTCAGCACGACGAATGTTCTTTCAAAACTTCTGGTAAATTCCTCCAAACCCCGGGAACGTACGCAATCACTGTCGCAAAGAAAAAGACAGCAAACAAAGCGCCGCGCAATATCTGCACTGCTTTGCCGTGTCCTTCTTTACCGGAAGGATGCTCGGCAATGGCAGGCACACCACCAGTAACGCCGGCGGTCAGATTCGGGGCCGGGACAGGGTCGGTCGCGGGCTTCGCTCTTTGGCGGAGCTCGGAGTCCATGGCCCTCCTTTCTCTTTTGGTATGACGTATGTGGTGCAGTTGAATGGCCAAGAGCGGGTCTTTATCGGTATCTCTCGGCGCCTGCCCTTCAACAAGTATTGCTGGAGTGCAAAAGCGTCAAGGTCAGGCCTTGAACTGGTTTAGAGCTGGTGCGAAGCTTCTGTGTGCCGCGAGAATATATGCCAAGGCTCGGGGTCTGTCGATCCAAGAAGGTATTAGAGACGTGAACGTCGAAGTGTCTCGAAGTAGCCGTGTAACAGAGCCAACACAGCGTGACGCGGCGCATGCGACATGAACCGGCCAAGGGACGAGACGTTAAAGGAAGGGAGGCCACCGAGCAAGGGAGTGGACACAAAGGCAGAAGTACACCGAAACAGCGGGAGTGCTTGGCGAAGAGAGGTTTTAAGATCGTTGGGTTCGAAGACAACAATGGGAGGTGAGCAGGTGACAGCCGAAGGATCAGCTAGCTGCCTAAGAGCTAGGTGGAACGCCCTGTCGGGGACCGACCCTTGAAGTGCGAATAGCGAGGGACGGCAGGAAGAAAGCAGGGACTGTAGTGCTGATCGATCTTGCCGTGTGCTAGGTTCTGCTTCCTTCCGTCTGTTGAAGAGACGACGCAGGGAAGGAGATGAGTGTTGAAAGTACAAGGGATTGGCGAAGGGAAGGCACGACGGAAGCGTCGTCAGTAGTAGCTTCAGGCAAGAATTCTCAAGACGTAAGAGCTTCAGAGCTCCTTCCCCGCCATTGACACATTCTGCGACCTTAGCGGTCTGGACAGCACTGTGGCCGAGCGATCCGAGAGCTGCAGGTGCTAGTGGCTGCTGGGATGGCTGATGTTTTAGGGGGTCGAAGCACCAAGTTGGACGGAAAGGCAAATCAGAGCACAAGGGTCCCACACAGTAATTACCAGACCAGAGCACTCAAACATCTGCCCGAGAGCACCCTAGCGTAGGCAAACGCCTACCGTGAGCACTCATTTGCGGGGTGTGTGATGGGTGCCGCGAGCCGAATTAAATAAAATACTAAAATAAAATACTAAATTATCAAAACCATCTGCAAAACTAACGTCACGAACGAGTTGCAAACAGAACGGACCACGACGAAATAACAATGTCGCCAAAGACACCCCCGAGCAGGACCTCCTGAACTTTAGATTTCGTTCAAAACAGACCTTAAGGCATGCACGTTGCTTTGATCCTGCCGGCGTTCCCATTCGCTCACCCAACGACAATGGTGCATCCTCTCGATCCCACGAACTTCCTTTTCGCGTGCCCGTGCTGCTCACACGACAAACGAGGACAGACAAGCTCGACGTCAGAAGACTGAACGTATCGTTTAGGGGGCACGAATACACCGGCAATTACCACTGTTGTAGCTGAACCACACGCATCCCTACCATGGCGGCACGACCTGCATTTCGGGCCATGGTCGGGAGCCTGAAGCAGCCAAGGCTATTCTCGACGACTCTGCCTCGGCGCGAGCTGTTCGATATAACACACCTGCCCGACCGGACGATTCCGCGCTACGAAGAAACGCCGGCATCGTCGTTGCTGTCGCTACAGTGGCCGCAGCCGCCGCGCAACGTCCTGATTATGCCCAAGCTGCATGCGCCGCATGTGACACGATCGGCTATTGAGCTTGCCCGGCATCTGGCTAAGAACTACCCAGATCTGCGGCTCGTGTTCGAAAGCCGTATTGCCAGCGACATCCACGAGTCGCTGCCGTTCCCCATCTACACCGTCGTCGGCAACAGCGACCCAACATCCATTTTCCCCCGCAAAATCGACGTCATTACGACGCTCGGCGGCGATGGCACGATCCTGAGGGCAGCCAACCTCTTCTCGCTGCAGCCGAGCGTGCCACCAATACTGTCCTTTAGCATGGGCTCGCTGGGGTTCCTGGGCGAATGGAAGTTTGACGAGTACAAGAGCGCGTGGCGCGAGGTTTACATGAGTGGCAGCGGCGTGGCCGTCGACGACCTGGTCGGCCCGCATACACAAGCTGCAAGCCAAGGAAGCCAAGGCGGCGCGGGCGGCCTGACAAAGTCAGTATCGGCAGCTGACACTGCAGCTCTGACACGCTCCGCCGGCGAGCCTGAGACCGACAAGCCGGTGTCGTGGGGCAATGCGCGTGGCCAGAGCATGGGCGTGAAGCGGGTGTCTCGGATGCTGCTTCGGCACCGCCTCAAGGTGGGCGTGTACGACCAGAATGGTGTCAACATCAACGGTCAACTGGTCCCTACTTCTGTAACCGATCCCAGCCACGGACCTGGCCAGGCCCAGAGCAGCACACCCAGCTCGTCACGCTCATCACAGACTCCACCGCCGGCCTTGCACGCCATCAACGAGCTGCTGATCCACCGTGGACCACACCCACACCTGGCCATCATTGACATTTTCCTGAACAACCACTTTTTGACCGAGGCCGTGGCCGACGGCATCCTCGTGAGCACGCCGACGGGCTCCACCGCGTACTCGCTCAGCGCCGGCGGGTCCATCATCCACCCGCTGGTGGGCTCGCTGCTGATCACGCCCATCTGCCCGCGTAGTCTCAGCTTCCGACCGCTGGTGCTGCCTCTCAACACCAAGGTGGTGCTGCGGCTCAGCGAGCGCAACCGGGGCCGCGAGCTCGAGGTGAGCATCGATGGCAAGCGCAAGACGGGCGTGGGGATCGGCATGGAGGTGCGAGTCGAGGGCGAGAATGTCGGCCCCGCGGCGGACGGCAGCTGGCGCGGCGGCGTTCCGTGCGTGATCAGGGCACCCAAGAAGGGCGATTCCAACGGTGTGCTCGAGGACGACGACGGTTGGGTCGGCGGCCTCAACGGCCTGCTCAAGTTCAACTACCCTTTTGGAGAGGTAGCGCCGTAGGGGTATGTGATCACGATCGACGGCCACCTTTTACTTTACGTTGTGAGACGCAGCACGTTCAACGATCCGGAGTTTGGATACTGAGTATGGGGCAGCCTCACCTGTTTCTCTGGTTTTGATTCTGCATTTTGAATTTGCATCGCATGGCGTTTGTCTTTGTTGATTCCCGGTTCATTTGATTTCATTCTCTTCGCATCACCACTCCTTAGTTGTTGTGCTGCAATATGTCTGAGCAAGTTTAATTAGTGGAACTAAGGTAAAGCATATATAATGGTATCTCCCCAAACTGTCAGGACATGAAATGTAGCATTGCCTCTCATCGCGTTCTCTTCCTCCTCTCTGCCATTATGTGATATTCATTAGAACTAACATGAATCGACTAACTGTCGCACAACAATTTGAAAATGCACAAAATTCGCGGTCGCATTGGCCATGTACCGGCGGTCTTGACACGTCACCGGCCACAGCCTCTGGCCATTTACAGGACAATCATCAGGATGCCCGCGGCCGCACCGACCGTCAGCCACAGACCAAGGAGGCCGTCGCCAGCATGGGTAAGGGAGACTGCCGAGTTCACGGAACCGGCCCCGTTCGGCAGCGTGGGTGTGGTCGTGGTCGTGGTGGCTCTGTGGCGGGTGGTTGTCTGTTCGGCAGAGGAGGTCGGCGCCGGCGAGGAGGACGAGTCCCCGCCGGGGCTACCGCCGCCAAACGAGGCGGGCTCGTCGGTGGTGGTCGAGCCGGCCAGGGACTCAAGCGAGGTGGCGGCGGCGGGCGTGTAGGGCGTGAAGGTGGACGAGATTTCGGAAAAGGACGATCTGGCTTCAGCCGAGTCCGTGGCCGACACGCTCAGGATGGTGCGGGTGGTGGTGCGGGTGGAGGTGACGACGGAGCGCGTCACGTCGATCTCGTACCAGTAGTAGTAATAGTAGTAGTAGGTGATGGTGAAGTAGTAGGCCTCGTAGTTGTAGTCAGTGGCCGTGCTGGGCGGCGGCGTTGTGTAGGTGCGCGTGGTGGTTTGCGAGCGCGTGACGGTGACGCCGCCAGTCACATAGGCAGTACACGACGAGTCGGTGCAGCAGACATCGTATGAGAGATCGGCGTATTTGTAGCAGTGGTTGCCGGCGTCGCAGTACGACTCGTCGCCGCAGCAGACGGCGCCGGGAGGGTAGCAGTGGTTCTGGCCGCAGCAGCCGTGTCCGTCTTGGCACGGCGCGTTGGGGCAGCAGGTATCCGCCGGATCAATGCAGTAGCCGTAGGCGCAGCAGTCGTCGTAGGTCGGGCAGCAGCGGCCAAAGTTGGAGCAGTAGCCGTAGCCTGCGGAACAGTACTGCCGCTTGTTCAGCAGGATGTCAATGACGGAGCGCGAGGTGACGACGCCGTCGGACGAGTTGGTGCCGGTCTTGGCCTGGAATTTGCCACCAACTACGGGCAGGACCACATAGTGTTTGTCGCGGTTGTCGTACTCCAGCACACCGGGCCGAAGCAGAGCCTCGCGGTTGACCAGCGCGATCTTATTGTCGAGAGCCACGTCGGCAGTCGCCCCGGACACAGAGGCGGCGGCCACGAGCAAGGACGACCAGGCACGCATAGTGAAGCTGTGGCGGGGACTGGTTGTGACTTGTGCCTTGTGAGGAGGGGGAATGGTGATCAAAAAAGTAAACTCTGCGAGCTCTTTTTGAAAAATCAAAATCAAAATAAAAAAGGGAGGTATGCAAAAGAGGTTAACCCCAACTTCGTGTAAGTCGCAAGCTGCAGAAAAAGAAACGGTCACAAGGCATCGACGGCACAAACAAAAGTGATGAGGGTAAACGAGCTTTAATACGGTAGATACAGGGGCCAGTTCAGATCTCAAGGCAGACAGCTCCGTCAACCGGCGCCTGTCATTCGTGGAGGTTGACCAGGTTGGGTCCAGAACTTGTTCGTCTGTACTGGGGTAGGCGTTCTTTTCCTTGAGAGTCTGTTATGACCGGCGTGTGTGGCAGTTTCGTGTTATGTTTCTTTAGTCTTTCGTTTCGTCTGTTGTCATCTTCTTTTCTCGCAGATTTCATTCCGCTCAACAGCCCTGTCTAGTTCGAATGCCAAGAGCGGCGCCCCTCAACACTACTTATCATACTTGTCTCTTCATGGCACACCGTCCGGTGGACGCACTGGTGTTGTGGGAGTTTTGTTGCATGCTGACGGCAGGCATCAGGATAGCAGAAGCAGCTCCGCAGTAGACGTCGTATTACTTGCACCCCCATATCTACCGAGTTGTCCTCATCAGGCAGACTGGAGAAATACGGTGTGCCACGATGTATGGCGCACAGTCACAATGGGGATGGTCCTCTTGTGCATTTTTGTGTAAAAGAGTGCAGCTTCGAAGCCAAGACAGCCGGCGAAAGCACCCCTGCTTCAAAGGACTAAGTTTGGAGTAGCTCAGACGTCCATCCAGCGACGAACCGTTGAACAGAGCTGGTCGTTCTTGGCTTCACAGCCTAGTCCGTTTTGGTCCTTCGTGTTTTCGTATCGGAACATGTTTAACAGAGCAGGCCGCAAGCCAAAAGGAAGTACCATTGCGAGCAAGAGATATGAGTCTGCATGGGCTAGGTTGACTGGGGAAATAGTGGTGGGGAGCTGGGAGGCTGAGGCTCTGGGAACGAAGGGTGGACGTCGAGCGTAAGGCAAAGATCGGCACATTTTCTGTGTCTGGCTGGCTTCTGTCTTCTTTCTGTTCGTTTTTGTCTTTTGTTTGCAAAACGTGCCTTTTGCGTCGTCTCTTTGTTTGGCTCCAAGGCCCCAATCTTTCTACGACGTCCTATGGCTGGTAGTTGGTTTTAAAGCTTCTCGACCGTCCATCAACGGCGACGCCGTCATTTCACACAGAGAGTCTGCTCGGGATGGGTAGACAACCAGACCAGAAGGCACCGTCACCTGCGTGCGTAAAGGACTTTTGAGGTCCTTGAGGCAATTCCCAACTGCGCTGACGGCGGCCTTTTGCTTTACCTTTCTCCACTGCAACAAGGTTTTAAGGTTATAATTGTGACGCCACCAGGTCAGACGAAATTTGTAGTATTCATTGCCTGGAAGAAAACTGGGGGCTGGCCAGTGTCCTTGCAAAGAAACCATGGAGCGCAGAACAACTGCACACCCTCCCTTGCCTGGTGACAACCGATGCGACGCCAACAACACTCAGCTTTGTTCAGACCCGAGGGGTAAAAGAAGAACACGCAACCAAAATTGAAATGGACCATAAATGTCGAGATGTACGGCGTGAATGGGATGTCGATATGACTGAACAAGACGGCAGAATTCTCGTTGCCAATCCAAAGCGAGTTTCTAAAATTGCACGACAAAGACGGTTAAGAGACAAAATGAGACGAGAAAGAAGAAGCACAACGCCGAGGCGGCCTGTTCGGTCGGCCAGCGACGTATTTTTCCATATCCCAATGTCGACGTGCGCAACGTAATGTAACCCTGGCAGGGGCGGAGAGTCAAAAAAAACGACACCGCCGATCTTGGCTCGTTTACTGAATTTGATCTTGGCTGACAGCTGCTCAGCCTCTCATTGTTTCCTTTGCTAGTTTTAGTTTTCTGGGCTGCTTCCTGTTTCCTTTCTTTCGCACCGAGGCACCCCCTTATTTCGTCGTCGTCTACTGGCTGCCCTTTTTTTTTTCTCTCATTCAACTCACGGACCCTTTTTTCTATTTTCCTGTGAATGGTTCGCCGTTCTTTGGATCACGACAACGCCAGCTCCCGCTACTACTGTGTCACCAAACTTCAATGACGCCAAGACGGCCACTCTTTCTCCCCTCCCCTGTCACTTCGCCTCTTGTCGCATTCGGTGGCTGCCTAAGATACGCAATATAAATTGAATTGCTTTAGTCTCGTGATATTCATGGTATGTGCTCTCAGAAGTGCATAATCAAAGATCTCTCAGTCGGATAGCACAACGTTTTTTGCGTAGCCATTTCCAACATCCGCGAATCGTGTGCCAACGCTAGACGACGTGGATGGCCCGCTTCGCCCGCCTCCAGCAGTCTTCGCGCGGCTCATGCTGCATCTCCAGGTTACCCAGCCGACATTATGTCAGCGTTGTCCGGAGTTGTGTACAGCACAAAATAGTGCGGCTCTGCTCTACGCACGCCGAAGTGCTGTTCGACAGCTGCCGGCCTCTTAGCATGTCCTTGCACCCACAGACGCGATACACTCGATCAGACGTTGGTTGGCTGGTAATACGCCAAGAACTGTCTAACTTGCTTGGATTGGCTTGGGTCAAGTCGAAAGGCTCAAAGGACAGAAGCTCTTGTGTTTGTTTCGCCAGCTTGGCCCTGTGCCGATCTATCCCTCAAGATCCCTCGACCGGACCCGGGCGCCCGTCAAGCCACTTGCTCATGTAAGGTCCGTCCAGCCAGTAGCCAAGCTTCGCGTAGTAGCTTCGTACACCGACGCCTGAGATCACACTGATCTTGTCGCTGCCATGTTCGTCGCGCGCTATGCGCTCCGCCTCCTCCATCAACAGCGTGCCGAAGCCCTGGTGCTGGAACTTTTTGGGATCGCGCGCGTGCACCGGCACTGCCGTCCCGTATACATGCAGCTCGCGCACAAGGCTCGTCGGCTGCTCAATCAGCTCCTCGCGGAACGTATACTTGGCCGAGCACTTCCGCAGCCGCAACAGGCCTACCAGAATGTCCTGCTTTGGGTCCTCGTACGCCAAAAATGTCTCCCAGCCGCCGTTGGCCGTATAGTCGCGGCGCACCAGCTCGACTTGGTTCGGCCGCACCTTGTGTTTTACCTCGTTGATGCCCACCTCGCGCGTGCGCACGTCGCGGCATGTCGTGCCAAAGTCCTTCATGCGCGCCAGCGCAAGCTCGCGCAGGTTGCCGTTCTCCACGCCCGACGTTACCAGGGGCATTGGGATATCGCGCTGCACGCGGTAGATGCGTGTCCATGGCGGCACCAGCGCTAGGATGCGCGCCACTAGGTCGATCAGTCCGTTGGGCGTGTAATTTTGATACCGTCCTGTCCGCCACAACTCATAGAGACCCGTGCCGCGGATTACCAGCGTCGGGTAGATCTTGAGGCCGTCGGTCCGGAATGCCGGGTTCTCAAAGTACTCGCGGAACTGGTCCAGGTCGCGCTCCATGCCCACGTTGGGCAGGTCTGGCATCATATGACTGACCACCTTGTAGCCGGCGTCCTTGGCCAGGCAAAACGTCTCGGCCACGGCCGCCACCGTATGGCCGCGGTTGGTGTCGCGCGCCACGTCCTCGTAGAGCGACTGCACGCCGATTTCGAGTCGCGTGCATCCGTAGCGCAGCATGCTCGAGAGGTGCGGCTGCAGGCAGTAGTCAGGCCGCGTCTCAATGGTGATGCCCACACATTTGGTGTTGCTCATCTCGCCCGCCACCACCGCCTCGTCCACGTTGGTCGTCTGATAGCCACTGAGCGCATTGTGCAGCTGCGCGATAAACGTCTCCCGGTACGACTCGGCCAGCGACATGAACGTGCCGCCCATGATAATGTACTCGACCTTGTCCACCGAGTGGCCCAGCGCTTTCAGCTGGTCGACACGCCCGCGAGCCTGCTCAAACGGATCGTAACGTGCGCGGATCGCCCGCATCGACGTCGGCTCGTAGCCCGTGTACGACTGGGTGCTGTACTCAAAGTCCGAGTCCGGTCCGCCGGGGCAGTACACGCAAATGTTGCCCGTGTACGCAATATGTGGACAGCGGTGCGGTTTGCACATGACGGCCACGACAGCGATTCCTGACGATGTGCGGATCGGCTTGGCCACGAGCTTGGGCAGAATGTATTTCTTGTAGTGTTCGGGGACGGCTGCGATGATGGCCGTGAGCGGCGGCACGCCGTTGACGCGGTGCTTGCGCGCATACTTGGAGCGTAGGCTATTGAGGTTGATGTCACGAGGCGCGCGCCGGGGGGTGCGCGATGACTCTTCAAAGTCTTCGATCAGGGCGTGTGCAATGTCGGCGCAGCATCGTAAGAACCGCTCGTTCTCTGGTGGCAGGTTGTCTTTGCCGCGGCGGGACGTTGATGCCGCCGTCTCGGTGACGGTCGTGGTCGACATGGGGTCCAGTTGAGTCACGCTCAATATCGATGGATGCCTTTGACACGCGCCTTTCTCTGGACACTCCTCACAACTACCACCCACAATCGGTCAGTGACTGGCCTTCCTAGGTCGCGTATGCCCTCGGTTTTGCGCCGGTTCTCCCGTAACGTTCTCGTAGGTTTATCCGACGTCTTATCGATTGTCGTCTTTGTGTAATGCCCGCAAGTATGCTTCCGCTCTGTTTGTCAATTCCCCGCGTTCTGCAAAACGAAAGGCATTCTGCTGTTTGCCTATGACATTTGTCGTCGAAACTTTTCTGCCCACTTCTTATCGTTATCAGATTGTGACCAATCACAGCCTATTAAAAACCCACCCAGGCGGAAGCAAGTCCCCTGCGCGCTAGTTAAGATACGCCAGATTCGCTCCCTACCACCCCCGCTGCCGAGGCCCTGTGGCTTTTCCCTGTGGCGGTGCGTTACCACACAAGCCGTGTAATTCCGCAGACCTTTACCGACATTTGGTGAGTAGTTAGTGCCGAGTTTCCCATCGTTTCCGCAGCCCAGCGGTGTTTACAGGCTGAACTTTAATATGCGAAGGCATGCGCCAGGGATTTCCAGGCCTTTCCAGCGGAAAGACCACCTACGAAAACAGACCGCTTCAATGGCGACCGGAATTTGGCAGAGCGTCAGAAAAATGAAAACTAAAAATACAAATACAAACGGGCCCAAAAAAAGAGCAAGAGATGTCACAGTAGCCCCATTGCGTCTGTGCCTGTGCCCCAACAGCTTGAAACGTGTGCGGTCGGCCACCGCCAAATGGGTTTCGTCGGGTTGTCAATGGCCCTTGTAGCGAGGGACCGTCTGCTAGTGTTCGGTGTCCTTTGCACATGTTTTGACTTATGAAGTATTAGCGGGCTTGTAGCTGTCTGGCAGGCTTTGCTCTAATTTTTATGCCGCCCTGCTTCCTTCCCCTCATTCGGACAACACATTGCTTGGACGCTGCAGAGACTTGCTCCTACTCCAAATTCCCCTTTCCGATACCTTCACATCCTCCTTTCCGGCCCGACCGACTTTCTCTCCTTTTGCACTTTGCTGCACCACCGACGACGCGACCTCGACGACGGACCGCCCAAGACTCCCTCCCCTCCCCTTCGTCCCCGTAAATCCCGCAAGTCTCTTCCACTATGCAGGCTTTCGCCCGGTGCGCCCGGCCGGCCCTGCTGCGCCAGGTCGCTCGCCGCGCCTACAGCACCGAGTCCAGCCCCTATGCCGCCACGATCGGCAACCTGCGCATCAACTCGGACACGAAGGTCCTCTTTCAGGGCTTCACCGGCAAGCAGGGAACGTGAGTACACAAAGTGGGAAGCTTTGAAGGGCGGCTGCGGCGGTAGCCACTGCGCCAATGCCGACGGCGACGGTGACGGCGATGATAGTGGTGATAGAGGCAACGGCAAGCACCCAGGATGCCAATGCTGACGATGCTCCTCCCCGTAAACAGTTTCCACGCCCAGCAGGCCATTGACTACGGTAAATACGCCTTCTGCTCCGACCCGACCGACGTACATTACGCACACATACTAAAACAAGCTCTCTTTCCTCACAGGCACCCAAGTTGTTGGTGGCACGAACCCCAAGAAGGCCGGCTCGACACATCTCGGCCTGCCAGTCTTTGCCAACGCCAGTGACGCTGTCAAGGAGACTGGCGCCACTGCCACGGCGATCTTCGTCCCGTAAGAAACCTCGACATGCTCAACCCAAACAAACCATTGTGGCACGCCACAAAACTTTGTCGTACAGCTCTAACATGTTATCACAGCCCTCCTCTGGCTGCTAGCGGCATCGAGGAGGCCTTGAACGCCGAGATCCCCCTCATTGTGTGCATCACGGAGGGTATTCCCCAGCATGGTAAGCGAGCTTCTACTTGGCCAGTTTGCGCCGTTTACGATGGTACGCGTTTACGCCCCAATTGTAACTCTACTAACCTCAACACTTCCAAACAGACATGCTCCGCATCACCAACATGCTCAAGACCCAGTCCAAATCCCGTCTCGTCGGCCCCAACTGCCCCGGCATCATCGCCCCCGGCCAGTGCAAAATCGGCATCATGCCTGGATTCATCCACAAGCGCGGCCGCATTGGCATCGTCAGCCGTTCCGGCACCCTGACCTACGAAGCCGTCAACCAGACCACCTTGGCTGGCCTGGGCCAGTCCCTCGTCGTCGGTATTGGTGGTGACCCCTTCAGCGGCACCAACTTCATCGACTGCCTGAAGGTCTTCCTCGCCGACGAGGAGACTGACGGCATCATCATGATCGGCGAGATCGGTGGCTCTGCTGAGGAGGACGCTGCCGAGTTCCTGCGCGCCAACAACACCGTCAACGGTGGCAAGCCTGTCGTGTCCTTCATTGCCGGTATCTCGGCACCGCCAGGCCGTCGTATGGGCCACGCCGGCGCCATTGTGTCCGGCGGCAAGGGCGGCGCTGACTCCAAGATCAAGGCCCTCGAGGCTGCTGGTGTCGTTGTCGAGCGCTCCCCGGCTGGTCTGGGCAAGGCTCTGCGCGACGAGTTTGTCCGCCGCGATCTGCTGTAAAGTGGAGGAGGGCGAGGCAGTAAATAAGAAGGGGCTGATATACGAAAATTGCTTGCAAAATAGGAGAACAGAGAGACGAAGTCGTTAAGAAGGTGACACGACATAGCTTGACACGGCGGTTTGGGCCTTTTTCGTTTCTGTTTTGGTTTTCATACGGGTTTTCACCACCACACGTCCACGGCATCCGATAGAATACAGAAAGCAAAATCATATGAAAAAATACTGCTTGGGGAGAGGCACACAGACCATAAGGGCCCATATACTGAGCAACAATGTGCAATTTGGAGCTCCTTATATTGCCATTTAATTGTCTTCAAGATGAAATGGTCCCATATGGTATTTGTCGGCACATACGTCGCAGATAGGCGACCGGCATATTGTGCAAAAGCCAACCGCACCAGCTTCGATTTATTAGCGTCTTGATATTCGTATATTTTGGTCTTCAGCCAGGTCCAAATTTGTAGAAAGCTACCAATCTGCTTAACATGTATTAAGTCTGGGAGGATAAAATTACATAATAACGAAATACCGAGTTTCTGAAGAAAGCCAATGTCGTAACAAAAGGCTAGCCAAATGCATTGCTTCTGTTATAGACGACTGCAGAACGAAATTAAAAGTTACTCGCGCATTGTAAATATACTCAGACCAAAAATGCTATGCAAAAAACCCATAAGCCCACAAAATAACAAAAACAGCAGATGTAGCAACGATCCACCGAGTTCTAAAGTGTGCAGCTGCGCCGTAAAAACATGCGAGGTATGCTAAAATAAAACCAGTAAAACTCCGGCATCCGTTAATGATCGCAAGGGGTGGACAACGCAAAAACAAGAAAAATGGCGTTTGGGTGCCGCCGAAGTAGGTTACAGGAAGTCAGGAATCAGCATAATTCTTGGCGGTCTCTATTCGTTGAACAAGCAGGACGTGACATCGCCAATAAGGCCAGGCTCCATCTCGTAATCTCTGCCGTCACGACGATCGACTCCGAGTTGCGTAAAAGCTGCGACAACAGAAGCCACAGAGAAGCCCATATCGGCAAAGCGGTCCACGAGATTCTTGTTGTAACCAGCATAGCTAAAGGTAAAAAAGAAGAAGAATGTTAATAGGAGCCTTTGCCGAATACATCACTGTTTATAATAGAAGAGCGGTGTGCATACCTTCTGGGGTCCACCGCCGGCGAGGGGGTCTGAAAAGGGCCCAAGGTCCCTGGCTGCGGCAGAACACGCGTGGCGCCGGCGTAGCGCACGGCCCAGTCGTGCGCGACAAGTTTGAACTGCTCCGGATTTCCTAGCAGCATGCTGGCGACCTCGGCATCCTGGGGATCAGACGCATTCGGGGTTTCAAGCAACATACGTAACGAGAGCAGGGCAGTCTTGATCGTGTTCACAGGCGACCAGTTTCTACTTAGGACGTCCAAGCAGATATATCCCTGGTAGTAGGCAGAGGAAGTCAAGAAAATTAGCCACAAAAGAACCCAAGTTTCAGGGTGCACATGGCTTTGTTCGCTGCAACATACAGTTTGGCTGCTGATATTGGGGTGCCAGACCCGAGTTTCAAATCTGATCTCGGGTGCTTTGAAAGGATACTGTTCCGGGACCGTGATGTTGACGACAAATGTACCAGTGGCGTATGGTGTGTCTGGTGGCCCAGGGAACGAACCCTTGAGACGGTCCAGACGGACGCCATCAACGGAGTGTGCGAAAACGCCCGAGTTGTCCTTGTCCTTTTCAATGTCCAGCAGCTCGCGGGCAATGCGGTGGTCTCGACTCGACGGCATATTGCTCGGTCTAGCTAGGGCGACTCTCGAGGAAGACAAGGACTGGGGGAGGTCGGATGGGGTATGGTTGTGAGCTCTTGAGGCCGAGAAACCTGTCGATATACGCTGCCGTTTGGTCCAATTAAGGGGTTTGGCAGTGATAACGTCGTTCGAGATTTAGGAATGAGGCTGTATCGAAACAAGACAAGAGAGAAACCAAAAAAGAGTCGATTCCGCTGTTGGTCTCTGAAGCGATTTTCGACTCTCTGCGTTGTCACGTGTACCCTGCAACCAAGCAGACGGATTTAAACCCTGGAAAAGAAATACAGGAAGCTGAGAATGGTAGATATTATGAAAGCTATAATAAACGGACTCCGGCGAAGAAAAATGGCCGTCGAAGAGGGAATGTCGTGGTAATGGGGCAATGGATGGCGGTTGGAAGGCGCCCAGAAGTGAAGCAAAAATGCGGACCTCTTCGGACGGGGGACCCAGTTGGCAAGGCGAGGGACCTCAGTCTGGGAGGAGTGATATAACGAGACGCAATAGTTTGGCGGCGGTCGGAATCCGTCGAAAGGCAAGCGTTTTGATCTCGATGAGAGAGGCGGTGGACGGGGAGGTCCTCCGGGTAACAGATGGAAGCCAGCAACACCAATTGCCTGGGGAGAGGGCATCGCACTCAAAATATGCTTCACTAAACCAGGAGCCAGAGTCCAAGATTTGCCCCGCCGCAGGGTTTCCAGAAGGACCTCCTGATGTAGCCTAGTAGGCTTGAGCTCTATGATTTGTTGTGCAGTTGGCGAGTTTGGTTTGGTACCAACGATAAGGATTTCACGTGACTTGATTAGATAGCCTGCTTTTGAGGCGAGCGAAGGCAGGCGTGCTGTCGCGTTTCCCCTGGCGCCTGGAGCACAGCAATGCGCTTTGTCGTTTTGCCTCCACAGCTGGCTGGACCTTAGCTTTCCCTCTCTTTCTCTCTGCTTCCCCATCCACTGCGTGTTTGTTGTTCATGTTGAAGTCAAGAACCAGTGTCCCAGCACATCGCATCCACAACGACCATCGGTACCATCGCATTTAAGATTTCGCACGACTGGCATCGAGTTTGAGGACTACAGAGAGTTCCAACCATGGTACGCCTCTCTTTATCTACGCCTTCTCTGCCATCGGGCGGCAATGACATGTCTTGCGAGCAAATCAAATCGCTAACCGTGATGACAATAGGGACAAAACCAATCTGGGATGGGCGGCGGAGCGCCTGGGGATGGCCAGGACGACAAGAGCAAAAAGGTAAGCGTTCAATTGACGATGCAAGCGCCGGCGAGTGACGACGACGAGCGGCACCGTGGACAAGGAAAATATCTTCGACGACAGGGCGCTGACACATTCCTCTCGCTGCTTATAGAAGGATAAGCCCAAGTACGAGCCCCCGCCGCGACCAACGACTCGCGTCGGGCGTAAGAAGAGAAAGGCTGCCGGCGGCGGTGCTGCGGCCAAGCTCCCAGCGGTCTTCCCTACGAGCCGATGCAAACTACGACTCCTCCGCATGCAGCGCATCCACGACCATCTGCTGCTCGAAGAGGAATATGTGGAGAACCAGGAGCGGCTGCGTAAGACCAAGGCGGCCAAGGATAGCAACGCGCCGGCTGCCAACCTCGACGCGGCCGATGGGGCGGGCGGTGACCGCCTGGCGGACGAGCGCAGCCGCGTGGACGACATGCGCGGCAGCCCCATGGGTGTTGGCACCCTAGAGGAAATGATTGACGATGACCATGCCATCGTTTCTAGCACAACGGGCCCCGAGTACTACGTCAGCATCATGAGTTTTGTCGACAAGGATCTGCTGGAGCCCGGCGCGAGTGTGCTTCTGCACCACAAGAGCGTTAGCATTGTGGGTGTCCTTGCGGATGACACAGACCCGTCCGTCAGTGTGATGAAGCTGGATAAGGCGCCCACAGAATCGTACGCGGACATTGGTGGCCTTGAACAGCAGATCCAGGAGGTGCGCGAATCGGTGGAACTGCCGCTGCTGCACCCTGAGCTGTACGAGGAGATGGGCATCAAGCCGCCCAAGGGTGTCATCCTGTACGGCGCACCTGGCACGGGAAAGACGCTGCTGGCCAAGGCCGTTGCCAACCAAACATCGGCAACATTCCTGCGCATTGTCGGCAGTGAACTGATCCAAAAGTACCTTGGTGACGGCCCTCGTCTGGTCCGGCAACTCTTCCAAGTCGCGGCCGAGAACGCTCCGGCGATTGTTTTTATCGACGAGATCGATGCCATCGGCACGAAGCGGTACGATTCGACATCGGGTGGTGAGCGCGAGGTGCAGCGGACGATGCTGGAGCTGCTGAACCAGCTGGACGGATTCGACGACCGTGGCGACGTCAAGGTGATCATGGCGACGAACAAGATTGAAACGCTCGACCCTGCGCTGATCCGCCCCGGCCGTATCGACCGCAAGATTCTGTTTGAGAACCCCGATCAGAACACAAAGCGCAAGATCTTCACGCTGCACACGTCCAAGATGTCCCTTAACGAGGACGTCGATCTGGACGAGTTTATCTCACAGAAGGACGACCTGTCTGGTGCAGACATCAAGGCGATCTGCTCTGAGGCGGGTTTGATGGCGCTGCGGGAGCGGAGAATGCGCGTGCAGATGGCAGACTTCCGGGCGGCACGTGAACGTGTCTTGCGTACGAAGCAGGAGGGCGAGCCTGAAGGCCTGTACTTATAGACGATCCGTCCAATCTGTGTACCACTATCTTTTACAACCCAAAGACCGCATTCCCGACACCTCGAATTCACAACATTCTTATCCGTACACCGTTCCTCTTACCTTTCCAATCCCCGTTTCATGCACTGCATTTCTTGTCCCATCGCGTTGCTTTGGCTAGACATGGATGGCTAGAGGTAGTTGGATGGAGCTGATAGAAATTCGTTATATCACCTCGGAGCTATTCGTTTACGTGCAGTCCTATGAATTTGAATGTGGCTTTTTTTCGCGAGAGTATTAAAATGCCAGAAATCCTGAAACAAAGCGCTGTCTAAATGCCAGAAAATACCCTAAAAATGATGTGCCCCATAAACAGATGTCCTTTAAATTTGTAACAAACGCCACGATGCCAAAAAAGAGAAGAAAAAGAAAAAGAAAGAAAGAAAGAAAGAAACAGATCTTTTACTCTCTCTAAGCCGACTGAACTTTCTCCTTGCCATAGGGCACCTCAACCTCGTGCTCACCATCGGCCAGGCCCAGGTCGCCCGGGGTCGGACCCGCGCTCACCTCGCGCAAGACAGCATTGTCCACATCGGTGCGACCTTCCGCGACCTTGAGCGCCTCCATGAGCTTACGCGTGGCCACAGGCCAGGCGGGGATCGCCGGGTTGTAGTTGGCGCCGGTACCGGGCGCGGGCACCTGGCCGCGCAGGATCTGATCGGCCGCAATGCCGCGACGGCCGTAGAACTCGCCGTTGGCGTCCGGTCGCACAACAATCACGGTTCCGTCGGCCTGCACGCCCGCGTAGAAGCCGCGGCTCTTCATGTAGCTCCAGATGGGTGCCGTGCTCGCAGAGTTGGCGATCAGGGCAGCCTCGACAGAGCCACCAGCGCCCACTGGGCCGGCCACGAGGCCGACCTCGGCACCGAGCGAGACACGCGCCTTTGTAAAGGCCGCCACAGCGGCAGGCGTGCGCAGGACACAGACGCAGTCGTAAATGTCAAGGCCGACGAGCAGACCGGCACCCAGGGTGTGCACGAGGAAGCCCGAGGGCGGGGACCAGCCACCGTCGGGCAGACGGGCCACAACGATACCCGAGCCGCCGGCGCCGGAGATGTGGACACCCGTGCGGAACGTGGTGAAGATGGCCAAGCCAGCGGCGTCACGGATGGCCTCGGGCGGAATCTTGACCAGCGATTTGCGAGAACCGCTCTTGGGACCAGGGGCTGCCGTGTCCTGTGCCGGTGCAGCCTGTGCCGGTGCGTCCGTGTAAAAGCCGTCCTTGCAAAACGAGGTGAGAATGCGAGCGGCCTTGTCGCTCTCGAGGTCAAGGGAGGAGGGCCAAAAGGCCTCGGAGCCCAGGCGGTTGGTTAGGCGGTTGACGGGAGCGCCAACCTTGATGCTGAGCTGATAGAGGCGCTCGCGCATGCTGGGCTTACCAGACGAGGTTGCAGACGAATCAGCAGCCGGCGGCAATGTCGAGCCGTGCGGTTTGCCTTGAGACAGAGGCCGGGTCGGCGGCGGTGCAAACTGAGGTTGGCCTAGGTTCTGGGGGTTCTGGGGATCCTGTGTCGGGAACTGCTGCGGATAGGTCTGTTGCTGAGGGTAATTCTGCGGGTTGTATGGCTTCGGAGTGTACTGGTCCTGGGGACGGGGAGGCAATGGAGGCTGGTCGCGCGCAGACCTCTGGCCGATAGGTTGTGACGACATGGTGACGTTGGTACGTGTAAGAGTGAAAAACAAAAGAGAGATGGGTGGTAATGGAGTAAATTTATGAAATGAGAGAAGGCGACAAATGTGCAAATTTTTAATTTTTTCGATGTGGCATAGAATGGAAGGAGCAGGTGAAGATGAGATCCGATCAAGATATTATGCAGAAAATAGCGATTCCAGAGACGACGCCGGACGATGATTTATATGAATCTCGCGACGCCAAACAAGTAACCAACATCCAAGCTGCAACCTCGTCCAATAACCCCAATCAACTAGACCACATGTACGTTGACGACGACGACGACGACGACGCACGCGTGGCGAAGCTCTGGCGATCGGTGCTATTAAAGGGCGCCGGAGCGGAACGACGGAGCTAATGGAATGTTGGCTCGTTTCTGTCGATGTGTGGAGATGACGTTTGACAGATACTTGAATTTACAGGATCAATTCCCTGTTCTTGGGAACCTGCCGATGGCGTACTATTTTGAAGTCTTTTAGCGCACTTGGGTCATGGTTTTTAGGAGGCAGTCCCCTGTAGGCATATCAACGAGTGGGCGCAGTCGGCTGTGCTTGAAGCCTGACCAACGAGAGCCAGCAGAATACGACTGCCTGGCCTTTGGAGTGCTTTTTGCGTCTAATATTATCTTGTGCGACAAGGGCAAGGCGATCACACAGCCCAGATCAACTCGGCATCGGGCTGTACGCATTAGGTGCCACTATTTCCAGTTCAAGACTGCCTCATTTTGCGAGGCAACACACAGAGTGAAAAAGTCTATCGATTTCACGGTTCGAGTGAGATTGGCCAATGACGTTGAGAGCTTCCGCGGCCAAAGTTGCCGAACGCAGATGTCATCATGAAGTGCTTTTCGACGCTGACGGTCAAACGACATTGGACAAATTTTCCGTCACTACAGACGAGAGGAGACCAAACACAAAAAATCATATTCTTTGCAGAGTCAAAGTAACTCGATTCAAAAAAAAACATGTATCAACATCATAAACACATAAAACAAAGGTATCCTCCCTGCCTTAAAGGCGTGAAGCGTTTGGCGGCTTCGTGCCCAAGATCTCGTCAGCCATCGCCCGTCCGGCCGCGCGTCCCGAGAAGATGCAGCCGCCCAAGAACGTGCCCTCGAGCGCAGCATAGCCGTGCACACCGCCGCCGCCAAAGCCCGCTGCTTCCCCGGCCGCGTACAGTCCCGGGAACGTGCTGCCGTCCGCGCGCTGCACGCGCGAGCTCAGGTCCGTCTCGATGCCGCCCAGCGTCTTGCGGGTCAGCAGATGCATGCGCACAGCAATCAACGGCCCGTACTTGGGGTCCTGGATACGATGCGGCACCGCCACGCGGCTGATCTTGTCATACCAGAATTGGCGTGCGTTGTGGACCAGCATCGCCTGCGCGTCCTTGCTGTATGGGTTGTCCATCTGCGCGTCGCGCGCCTCGACCGTCTCTTGAATCGCTGCCAGGTCGAGCTTGGGTCCGTCCACTTTCGCTGCCATCTCGTTCATGCCATCGACAAGCTCGGGCAGCGTTTCGCGCACGATGAAGTCGACGCCGTACTCGCAAAAATTCTGCACGGCAACCGTGCCCTTTGTCGTGAGCACACGCTGCAGCAGGGCCTGCCAGTAGCTCTTGTTTGTGATGTCCGGATTTTGCTCCGAACCGGAGAGTGCAAACTCGTGCGCAACAATAGCCCTGTCCAGGATGAACCAGCTGTAGTCATAGCCCGTGGCGCAAATGTGCTTGAGCGTCGCCAGCGTGTCGGAACCAGGGAACAAGAACGCAGGCAGCCGCTTGCCCGTGGCGTCCAGCCACAACGACGACGGCGCCGGCAGCACTCGAATGCCGTGGTTCGGCCAGATGGGGTCCCAGTTCTCCAGGCCCTCGGTGTAGTGCCACATGCGGTCCCGGTTGACCACGTGGGCGCCCGCCGACTCAGCAATGCCCATCATACGCCCGTCGACGTGTGCCGGCACGCCCACCACAAACGACTTGGGCACGTTGGGGCCCAGCCGATCCACCGGCCACGCCTTCTTGATGGCCTCGACATTGCCACCAATGCCGCCCGACGCCACCAGCACGCACGCACCGCGCAGCTCAAAAGCGTCGACAACGTCGCGCGATGTTGGCCTGCCACGGGGCACGGTGTCATCGTCCTTGAGCACGCTGCCGGCAATGCCCACCACGCGGCCCTTGGGGTCGTCGTTTTCTGTGAGCAAACGGTCGACCCTGCGCCGATGCAAAAACGTCACGAGCCCCCGCTTCTCGGCCGCCAGCACCGGCTCCTTGAAGACGCGCACGACCTCGGGACCCGTGCCCCAGGTCAGGTGGAAACGCGGCACCGAGTTGCCATGGCCGTCGGCGGCGCCGTCTCCGCGCTCGGCCCAGCCGACCTGGATAAAGGACAGGCCCAGACGGGTGACGTACTGCTCAAACTCGTCCGTGGCGAAGTCGACAAAGGCCTCGGCCCACTGGCGCGGCCAGCGATCCTCCGTATCGAGCCGGTCGAACTTGGCGGTCCCGAGCCAGTCGCGCAACGCCAGGGCGCGCGAGTCCTTGATGCCGCGCGAACGCTGGGCCTTGGAGTCGACGCAGAAGAGGCCGCCCAGCGAGAAGAACGCTTGGCCGCCGAGGTTGGCTCGGGTCTCCTGGTCGACAATGACGACGTTGACGCCGCGCAGCGTCAGCTCGTAGGCGGCGACGAGGCCGGCGAGGCCATGGCCGATGATGATCGCCTGCGGCGTGGCAGGTGTGTCGGCAGATGTGTCGGACATGGCGAGAGGGAGCTTCGTGGTGGGCCGTTTTTGAGATTCTTCTATCAAGGTTTGCCGTAGAGCTCGTATCAACTTGTGCCTTGCTTCGACTGGCGATTGTCGAGGTCGTTCTTTCTGCCCATCACCTCGAGGGTATATCCGGAGCTTGATAAAATCCGGGGAAGAAGCGATTTCTCACCAAATGGGGGGATGCTTGGCTTCTTGCAGAATCAGGTCGGTGCCACTAACGGCGCCCGTCGCTTCGGATTTTGCGGGGAAAGCTCCTGGGACCAGCCCGTTTGCTGGTTCAGTTCTCCTCCCCCGTATTACGACGTAGAAGGCACAGCGGTACGCCAGTAAAATGGCCCGCCTCACATAGTAGACAGCCGCGGTCCGCATGTGAAGGCGAGGCCAATACCGCCCATAAACGCGCCAAAAAGTTACCAAAACATACGCCGTACTTACCACAGTCCATTATCACACACTCAACACGGAAGGCTACGTTCGCAGCGGGGACGAACCAGGATAGTAATTATCACAGTGAAACGGACACTGAGAAATTTTGATCCCTCCTGGCCCGGTTTGCTGGTACCATATCGTCACAGCCTAGCCGGCCGTCGAAATCATCGGCGGCGTCAACGGCAGTTTTTGTTCTCAGGTATGAACTTGCGGCATCGCATCGCCTCTGCCGTTCTTTCTTGGTACCTGTATACAACTGTACAAGTCTTAAAAAAGGTAGAATGGGTCCTGATTGGGAGTCAAAAGTGAGAGTGCAATTCGCAATGCGATCTACACATTTCAGAGCCGCATGCCGCCAGAAAATCAGTGTCGTATTTGTCCGCGGCACTGTAAGGCACATAAGCACAACGGCAGTGACAAGTGCTGATGGGACGGGCACTAACCCGTATTCCCGTTCGTGATCAATTTTGCATCTTTTGACGCTAGTTTCATGGCTATTTGCAAAAGAAAGACGTACAGACGGTCACGATTTATAAATTTTTACGCAGAAAAAAAAAAAAAAGGCTTAGTTTAATACTTGGGCATGTAAAGTTGCCTCGGCTATGTTCGCCGCCCCAGGGTCAGAGCCACGTATATGACACACATAAAGCGAGGCGCATTTACGAGCCATATATACAAGATGGTACGTCAAGAACAGAACGGAAACGGTCAAAATGTAGAAAAAGAGAGCCTCATAGATTGGGAAAAGATAATTCGAATACTAGAAACAACGGGTGGCAGAGAATAAAGGAGATTAAAAAAAAAAATAGAACAAAAGGGTATAACAGGGTTGGAGTGATAAATAAAGTACACGCTTTGTCCACGCTCGCTTGCCATTGCGCCAAAATGCTAATAAAATAGGGGGCGAACTATGGAGAGATGCAAAAAAAACTTGGTGACTTGGATGTTCCACGGGCACGCAAGACGGGTCGTCACACCTTGCCGCAGTCATTGTCCGTGTCGGTACCGACTCGTCGCCGCTTGCTCCGGGCGGCAGGCGTGCCCTGCTGTCCGTGGCTCCCACGTTTGTGCGACGCTGCCCCAGTTGGCCCGGACGCATCATCCCCGTTTGGCACTTCGCCGGGCGATGCACTCGTATTGGGCGTCTCGATGGGTTGCGTAGCCGGGGTCGCTGCTGTGGGCGGGGCTGTAGCTGCCGTAACAGCCGAAAGGTCGAGAGATGCATCGGCCACGTCGTGTGGTGTAGTGTGTTGCGGCACAGGTTGTGCAGTGACGGCTGACCTCTCGGCGTCCAGCACAGCGTCATAAGGTGCACGCATGGCCGTTGTTGCCTGTGACTGCTGGCGGGCTTCTTGCTGTTGATGCTGCTGCTGCTGCTGCTGTAGCTGTTCTTGCTGCTGCGTCTCATGCGGAGGATCTGGCTGAACGTTGGAAAACTGAGCCGGAGTAATTTCAACAATGGACGAGTCTGACAGAACTGCTGCCGGCTGCTGGTAATAGGGGACCGGAAGGTCATGCTGACTATCAAACGCTGGACCGCCCAGACCGCCGTAAGGAAGGTGCGGCACACCACCAGTGGTGGACCAGTACGCCTGGCCCCGGGGCGACGATTTGGGCAGAGCAGGAGGCGGTGGTATCGTCTGCACCCAACGCTCGATGTTGCCGCGCTTGTCACGCCACAACAGCTTGCTCTGCTCGATGCGAGCTTGCTCTGCGCGTGCCTCCGCGCGTGCCTCCTCACGTGCTTGGCGCTGCTCGTCAGAGAGGATTTGGGGGTCGGCTTGCTCCTGCTGCTGCTTTCGGCCACTTGGAAAGTCGTAGCCGCAGCCGTACCCGCGACCCTCGGCCGCACTGGCCTCCGCCTCGGCACGCGCTGCGTCTTCGGCAGCAATCTGTGACGCAGGTGCTAACCGCCGACGCTTCCTGTGCGCCTGGCTCAGTGGCCGGCACTTGGCCTCGAGGTAGCGCAGCTTGGCCTGCCAGTACGCGGGGTCACTCAAGTCCGGTCCTTCCTGTTCCTGTTCTTCTGTCTCGTCGTTGTCGTCGTCGTTATCGTCGCTATTGCGGTAATAGTGCCTTTGATCGGCCTCCACCTCAGCCCCCTCGGCCCCCTCGATCCGCTCTGCACCTGTTTTTAACCGCGCTGTCGTCCGTTTGCGGTATCTGGGTGCTAACCTGACGTCACCGGGCCCTGCAATGTAGAGCTCCTCATCTGCCAGGACCGCCACGCCCTCGTCACCGAGCCCCACTAGCGTCAGCATGGCGTTGTAGACCCAGGACCGTAGGCGGGCCACGCGGGCGGCAGGTGCTTCGCGCGCAATCACTGCGTCGACGGCGGGGTCCTCGTTGGCTACAGCATCGTTGTCGCCATCGTCGCGCGAGGATATGGACACGGGCTCCATGGGCTGGATCAGGGAAGGCTGGAACCGGCGGAGGTTGTCCTCCGTCAACATCCAGCGCTTCCGCGAGGACGCCATCGGAATGCCAGCGTGGGACGTATCGTGGAGTCGTGGTGATGTAGCGATTGTTTGTGACGATCGTCCGAGCGAGAGGACGGTATGTCGGTTGCCGATCTCGAGGGTCGGTCGGAGGCACGACGTCGTCGGTGCAGTGCAGAAGTCGGGGTGATATGTGCACTTGATGTCGAACGTGCTTCTGTTTTCTGCTTATGTAGACGTCGTGTATAGCTGCAGCAAGCAAATGGAGAGGACGGGAGTCGGTGCCCTGTCTGAGTAGAATACGAGAAACGAGGAGAGAGAGGGGGGCGTGAGTAAAAGTAAAGAAAACTGCGAAGCAGCGAGGAGGGTGACCTTGAGGTGGCAAGTTTTGTCACCGAACGGCCGAGTTCATGTTTTCACGGAAAGGTAGGAGACGAGGACGGGCAGCGCTCGCTTTGGCTGGCATTTTTGGCCGCTGCTCCTGGCAGGATCTTGTTGAGGATTCGGTCGGTGTTCGCCCACCCGCTGCACGCCGCAACGGTCTTTGCGCCCAAGGGCGGCTGGAGGCTGTGTGTGATTGAGGTCGTGAGTGGCCTACAACTGCACTGGCGCTAGGAGGCGTCAGGCTGAGAGTGAGCCAAAACAACACACTAAAACCCAGAGCGTGACGCCATTGGCCAGAGCTCCCGGCCAACAAGGGAGCCCGGGATCCGCCGCATCCGTATTAGTAAATCGAAGAATTCACGTGACGAGTCACGGACGCGGTTGTTTGTATTTGTTTTTGCGAGGTCGCCCGCTAAGTGTCAGGTTATTGTAATTTTTGTGAAATTATACCATTTCGTCAGTACTCGATGTCGTACATGAAGATGTAAAATAAAATAAATAAACAAAAAGAGACTTGTAACTTTTCATATATGGAATTTGTACATTTGATGGTTTTTAAACAATTTGTATTGAAAAACAAAACAAAATAAAAAGTAAAAGTAAACGTAAAAAAATAAAGCTAATCCCAAACTTACCGCGTATATACTATTCTACTACTTACTTTACAGCTGGGAACCAGCCTAAGTCAGAAAGCAAAAAGGCATAGAACCTACCACTGCTACGCGAGGTAGCCAAAGAAAAAGCGCGGGTCGTTGGGGCCCATTGCTGGTGCCCGGCGGGAAGGCTGGGCCCGACGACTGCGACCTGGTCGAACATAGGAAATCTGCTGGCCGCGAGCCGCCTGGGAATCTCTGGCTTGCCGAGGCTGTTCAGCGCGACGGTGGCGGGGTTTTGTAATCGGTCGGGTCGTAGGAAAGGAGCCAGGTATGACTGCGTGTGGTTCGGGTAGCTGTTGTGGTTGTTGTGGTTGTTGTGGTTGTTGTGGTTGCTGTGGCCGTTGCGGTTGCGGCTGATCGGGTGGATTTGGCTCTCCAAAGACAAAAACACTTAAGATGGCCGAGAAGTCAAGGTTGAAGGCTCTCTGCACCATCTGGCCGAGCGGGTTCCAGAACATGTCGCGGTAGCCGACAACAGGCGCCGCAGCTACTGGTTGTTGGGCGCCTTGCTGGACGTTTGGAACGACAACGACAAGAGCATCGTCTGCATTTACCGCATTGGCGTCGACTTGGACTTGAACGTCCACGCCGCCTGCCACAGCTGGCTGCCTGTCGCCTGCATTGCCTTGTGCGTCGACGTCAATCACATCAAACATGACCACATCCGAATCACCGCTTCCGGAATTCGACGAGGTATCTGTGTTGGTGCTCGAGGAGATGCCATTCATAGAATCGTCTTCACGCGCAGCATCCGCAACATGGTTGAGAATCTCGCCCCGCTTCATGCGGTGCTCACAAGTCAGACACAGGTCCATCATCTCGTAGTTGCCCTTCCAGTAGACACGGTGCCGGGTGCATGCCGCCGTCTTGCAACAAAAGGCGCATTTCCACCGGCGGATACGGCCGGCGTTGGTGACGATGATGCGGCCGGATCGAAGAGTCATGTGAGATGCGGGGAGTCCTGGTCGTGGAGCTTGGGCATGTGTTCGTGCCAGTGCTTGCTGCGGCATTTGGCGGCGCACGGATGGCACATAAATGTTGGCAAAAGGCTGCGCCTTGACATGCGCGATTCGCTTGATGCGCTCCTCCTCGTCCCGCTCCCTCTGCGCATCCTCCTCCTCGAGCTTGCGCTTCCTGGCCAGGTCTCTCCAGTAGATGTACGAATTCTGCCGGCGCTCGTACGCCTCCCATAAATGGGTAAAGGCGGTTTGCGTCGCACTGTCCTCGGTGTGGAGCTTTTTTCGCAGCCGGTTGGCGTCGAGGACGGGCGGGTTGCTCCAGTCCAGACCGGAGGGACCAGTGGGCATATGCTGAAGCTCATCACGGTCTCTCTTCTGCGGAATGATGCGGGCGGCGTCATGATTCAAGTTGTTGGGTGGGTTGAGCACGACTCTGTCCGCGATGATGTTGGGTGCCTGTGCCTCAGTAGATTGCGGCGTGCGCTTCTCTTCCAACTCATTCTCCTCGATGATCTCGAGTTTCGTGGGAACCTCACGCTTGCGGTACGTTTGAGCAACGCCGCGCCTGCGCTTCGACGCGAAATTAAAGGACCATCGCGCAATGTCGGCGCGCGTCTTGTCCATCTTCGTGGCGCATATTAATTTCCAGCACAGAGCGGCGCCCGGAAATCGGGGCACAGCCTTCAGCTCTCCAATCTTGCCTTTGTCAATGTAGGCGACGAGAAACGGCGACCTACCTTGGGCCATTATGTCGGTCGTATGATGTATTGCCGTAGCGTAGTAAGGATTATGTTTCTACTGAAAAGTGACTCTTCTTACCCTTGATTCGATGCGTGGATAGAGTCTTTTGTTTCCTTTCCTTTTTTTTTCCTTCTAGGTTTCTGTTTGCTGTTGCTTCACTCACGTTGTTTAAATAAACTTGGGGAATAGGGACCTTCTCGTGCATTTATGTTAATATGCAGCTTCTTTGTTGTTCAGTTGTCCTCATCACCAGGCGTAAATTTAGCATGCTGGATTGAAATCAAAGAACAAGTGAACAATGGGGACTACAACCGAGAGAAGAATAAAAGATAAAAGGGAGAAAAGGAGTGGCACAATGAACCTTTGTTCTGTGAACAAAGCCCGTCATATCGCAACCTTTTTGAAATCGTTGTTTATACAGGAAAATGAGACGTTCAATGGCATCTCTTGTTCTAAGGAATGGAGACAGTCCTATATCGCGCGAATTTCATTTACAGTTTCTACACTTGAAGACGGCTTGTATCATTTTTTACCCAGACGCAAGCTTGTCTGTTGGCCTTGATGCCCTTAGTTTGATTTGTTGTGTAGTCCCCTTTTTGGCTGACAACCTAAGACTAATAAATACCAGACTTAATATATCACTCTGTGAATTCTTCAACAACAAAATAGTCATGCTTAACGGAAAACAGGATCATTGTTAGTGATTTGAGGTACTGTTCGAAACTAAACTGGTACACAGATAGTCGGCAATTTATATCGCAGCTCGGTGCTCATGGGCTGGCGGAGGTCGGTGTCGTGCTATTTGCGGCAGATCCTGTTGACACCGGATGCCGTGTTGGACAGTACCCCGAGGACGGAAGAGGATGTTGACGGTAAAGGGGAAGACGAGGCGAAAAATGGCGTTTTGACCAGGATCTGAACTAGCAAAGAGCAATGATGCCGTCGTACCCGTCTGTTTTTTTGATATCCTGATTTATATCACTTTATGTTCGTAAATGGATTGATGATGTCCATCTATCAGTTCGCTTGAACAAAAATGACAGTAGGCAGTTTCGGAGGTAAGAGATGACTTAGCTGCTTCTTACATCTCATGGTTAGACGGTTTTGTCGAGGAGACCATCATCTATTGAAAATAAACGAAGATCACAGAAGCAGCGAGGTCGACCGGAATGGTATCTGAATTGTACTCCTTAGAAGGACTGACATTGATGCGAGACCGTCGGTCGAACTTGAATTGTTGTTGTGGGTTAGCTACGGGTTGTTATTCGTTCAGTATGTATGCCGTAATGTATTCCGTTTCACAGCACAATTCAGTTTTAGGATACAATATGCAAAATATTGGCACCTCTGTTGTTCTTCGACTCGAGTCGCGGTCATTCCCGAGTCCACGTCCCACCAGTACGTGCAAATACAACACGGACTGGCTGCTCCAGCTTCTTATCTTGAACGATGGGTGGACGAGATGACAGCCGCAACCACACGGGCCCAGCTGAAAATTTGAAGAAAAAGCCAAAGGAGGAAACGAGGGTCCAAAGATGCTAATTTTCTCTGGCGAAATGAGATTGAAAACCCTGGTATGATGAAATGGCTGTGTATAAAACAGAGAAGAGGAGGCACTTTCTAGAAAAAAAAAAAAAAAAAGGGGGGAAGGGGGGGGTTTCCTCACGGACGTTTTGCTTCAATGATACGAAAGGATAAGAAAGCATATTCTGAGTCAGGCAGTTGGGCTTGTGAAAACTACAACTGGCAAAGTTCAGATGTGGCTTGCATCGATATAGTCTACTTTGTATAGCGGGAAGAAGGTCATGCTTTGCAGCAGAAGAACAGTATTATGTTTGAAACGGGAGGGCAAGTGCTACAACGAGCGCTAAAGGTGAGGATGGGCATTATCCCTTCGTACAAAACACAACCTCATTATGCTATTTCAGACCATACCACCTGCAGGAGCCGGATGGCGAGGAAAAGGGGGTTGATGAATTCGTTTCGGGTAATACCGAGGCTGACAGGCCCTGCATTGGGAGGAAAAGAGGAAAAGAAGAAAGAGGGACTGAGGGAAAAGCGCTGGACGAGGGTGAAGAAAGACATTGATGGTGTGCACAGAAGATGACAGGTCAATCTGCAGAGAACAGACCGGGTGGACCTACCAAAGCCCAGAGGGTTTGGCGGCCTGATAGAGTTAACTTGGACGGCGATCCCGAAAAAGAGGAGACGTTATCAGGGGAAATATCTCATCAGAAGAACGGACAGGGAAAGAGGACGGGGCTCGATGTGACCAGTACTTCACCCCGAGTAAGATGGAGCAGAAGACAGAGCACACAGATGCAAATGTGTACACGACATTTTTAGATGGGGTCGTAGCAGGGACAACGGGATTTGGGAGATCGTCGATAAACTACTCGAGGGCAGGAAGACAAGGCTAGCAGCAGCGGGTAGACAGGATATGCTACCATGGCTAGCGACAGCTTGTGAGCTTTAAAGGCACCCGTATACCGCTCGACACGGGGCCAGCTTAAACAATATCGGTCACATAAAATACGGAGCTTAGATGGACAAGGAGCTCCAACACGTTAACCTCTGCCACTGTACGTCTTGGTCTCGGGTTGTGGTTGACAAGCCGGTGGTCGTTGGCCAGAGTCTGGTACGGACATCGAGCTTATGAAGCCATCCCACAGTAATTTTGATTCGAGCACTCGGTTTGTCTCAATACTAAGTCTGGTATGACTCTGCATATTGATGAAAGCGGAATGGACGATGCAGGGCGGCCACGTTGGCTAGCCTGTGCTGCAGGCGGAAGACTTGCATGTCAAGAGAAAGAAAAGAAGTGGAATATACGTCCTATGTTTGTCTCCCTTGCCATGCTGCATGGTGTCGTGTAAAACAGCCACCGGGACGATCGAAGACACGAATGTCGACAGTATGAGGTCGATGCAGGTGAGGCCCAACTTATTCCAGCAGGTTTTCTGTATTGGAAGCCTTCTAGAAGGGAAAACTGGGGCCAAGATGTATTCTGTAGTTGCTATCTTTTCGCTGTCTGGTTAGTTTCGTTTTGGTTGCTGATAAGGGCGCAATAAAAATTACGCGCGACAATTAGAGAGACAGAGATAAGGGACGACAAATTGCCAGCCACAAGCAAAAAAAGAACCTGCTGGCTACGATAAACCCATCAACCAACAAAGAATGGACCAAGAGGGAAAGAAAGGGAAGTAGGCAATCTCGCCTGTTTTGCCGCCTTCCGTCTTCGCCTGCCCATCGCTTGTTGAGAGAGTGTGTGCCTCGACATCGCAGGATGCATTACACACGACTGTGAGGTAACGCGCCTCGCTTATTCTCGATAAGATAGATGCATGCAGCACAAGACCAAGAGACAAGAATGCCTTCGAATCGACATGCACAGCATCCGCCTCCACGCTTACTTTGCAGCGTTCCGGTATCGTCCGCCGGTTTGCCTCCTGTTCCTGAATCTAGGCAAGGCTGACGTGACATAAACGATGGGCCATGTCAATGACCGACGCGCGATGACCCGTCGTACCATGCGATGTTGTGATGGACACTGCATGGCTGCGGCTTGTTTTGAGCGCTTTGGGATACTGAGCGACGGATGGGCAGATCATCGACGGGGACTGATTTATAGGGCGGCAGCGCGCAATACTGAAATGAAGCGAGAACTCTCTCGAGGAAAAAAAGAGCGATGCGCGCTTTTGTTTGTTTTATTTCTTCCAATTTGCGCCTTACAACTGGCAGCCGCCCCAGGCAGAGTAACTTTTGTCGGAGGTACGACGTGCTCGTGGAGCCGGCGGCAGGGCCATATCCCTTTCTTGTCACTTCTTTGTCTCCGATCCGTGGTGGTCAACTTTGCACGGCTGGCATGGAGGTACAACATCGTTTCGATTGTCGATGCGTTCTTTTGGGTTTGCCTTCAAGTTCTGCTTGCTTAGTTTCCGTTGTTCCTCTGTTCAGGCAAGTGCTTGTCCGAAAGGGGCACACCCTTGTCAACATGGACCCACAGCTTTAGATAAGGGAAAGTGGAAGGGTGTTTCTAGCCAATGAGAAGTCTCCATCTGCGAGACTCTTTCTTTGTAAGGCAAGAGCCAGTCTACGAATAAACTATTGGCGCTACAGGACCGGCAGGTGCCTGAAGCTCACCTGGACTTCGAAACTCTTGACGACAGGTATCTTACTTATCAAAGTATTTCTCTTACAAACAGCGACGATGGGGACCTATCAGACGCCCCAAACCTTGTATCGCGACGGGCCTACCACTACGAACGACATTCGAGCACACAGCCGATCACCCCTGTCAGGTACAGGTACAGGACGGACCGCTTGCAGGACGCATGTTTTTAGAAGAAGAAGCACGAAAACGTCGCTCCGACTTGACCAGCTTTTCACACAGGGCACTCACAGGGCACTCACAGGGCACCATGCTGCACATTCGGGACCCAAAGGTGCAAAAGAGGTGTTCACTCTGCCTTGTCTTTTAGCTGTCCGTCTTGGCATTTGGTCTTTGGGCTTGGCCCAGGACGCCCTCAGGCAAGACAGAAATAAGAGATAAGGAAACACAGCTCGAGATTGGCGATATGAGAGCCGACAGGAAGAAAGACATGCCCGTTACTAGGCCAGGAAAATGGATTTGCGTAAAATAACTACACGCCTCAAGTAATAGGACTTCCAGCTCGGTCCTTGTCTGTCGCACAACCCCAACCCGCATTGGCTTGTCATCCCGCGCGCTGAACGCAGGCCACCCACTCACACTCGTGGTTGAGGTTGTTCCTGTTCAGGAAGCAAAATGGTTCGTGTGGATATTGATTGTCGTCTTTGGTACGCTTGGTTCCGCAGCAGGCACTGACTGAGAAAGACTGCAGGGGACGAGTTTATTGGTCTTCGTTTCTTTCGATGGACCCGGGGTTTCTTCGTTGGTGCCCGTCGGTAAGAGCGACGCCACATAATGCAGGCTCTCCATCATGGAGCGAATGTGATGATGAGGAAAACAACATGGACAGTCACTGCGCATGCATGTACGCACAAACAGTTCTAAAACAGGAACCCCCACGGGTCCCCAAGGGCACTCCGGGGACGAGGCCCTGGCTGGCTGTTGTGGCCGTAGCCTTTCCATGTGCACTTTTCCAAGTGCACAGGCTGACAGCACCAGCGGTTGGAATGGTAATACCGCAGAGTCTTACATCCGTAAGACATACAACATACAGGTGACTCCCTTACGGCATGCTGGCCTTAGCATTGGCTCTGGAAGACCCTGCGCATATTGATCGTGTAGCAGATGGATCGGAGGCCAATTACTGCAATTAATCCTCAGGGATGCAAGAACGTCACACATGCGCAACGCGAGCTAAGAAAAGAATCCCCAAGAACAGATGTGTGGCAAGACACAAGGCGATCGTACTCCATAAGGGTACAGACAGAGAGATACTTCACCGCCACTACCTACATCGAACTGTGTGAAGATGCACGTCCGCTTGACGACCACGACTACAACACAACATCACCATCCCGAGACGCGGAGTCAAGTAGACCAAACAAATCCTCGCCCAAAAAAAGACCTCATTCGCTATCTGCATCAGTATCCAAGCCATCACGTTTAAAGACAAAGACACTTGGACCCATGCCAGCTTCACATGAACTGGCTGACAATTTACTCTGTTTAGCAAAACGAATAATTACAATATACTGGTACCCGTCGACATCTCGAAAAGGTTGCCCTGCGAATCCACGCTGTCCCATTCGCCTTCCGTCTTCCTTATCTTTTGTGTCCCACTTGGGGCTGGACTTTGGCGGCTTGGCACATGCACCACACTTAAACCACCCCTGCCCGAAGCAAACGGGGGGGCTCACCCGTGTTAGTGTGCCTTGTGGGGACTCCTTGTGTTCCTGTCTCGCAATCAGGATTCCCTTTGTAGAAAGAAATACACATCGTCCGAGGGGTGCACGCCGATATGTATTATCTGGTAAGAAATAAGGATCAAATGGTGCTAAAGCTTAAGTCCCTAGCACGCGAAAACAATAGGAAGCAGTCTATCAAGCTAAGACCCGACAATCTTATCGCTGGATGCCGTCTGTCCTTCGCAGCCCCGTCTGCGTCGTATGGGTGGTGGGAGGCCATGGAGCATGGTGTGCGGACGCGTGCCTTTTGTCTCTTGTCTCGTGCCATGGCGTCTCCGTAGCTCGGTCGATGTCTTGTCGGCTGCATGTCTGGTGTGTGTCTCTCGTCCCCCCAGTTTTTGACTGTCTCTCGCCAACTCACAAATATATATTGTCTAGTTGTCCCCTGCTCATCACCACCGTCTATCCCGTTTTATCTACCCGTTTTATCTATTTCTATTCCTCACCCCCCTTCTTTTCGGTCTCTCCAGACATCCTTCTATTCTTTCTTCCTTTCGTCGGAAGATCGTCATCAAACCTAAAACCTGGTTGTCCTTTTGTGTCAATGGACAGCGGTTCTTGACAGAACGGGTTCTCTTCACGACTTTCCTTTATTTTTTATTTCTACCTACCTTTTTCTTGCACCTCTTTCTCTCGACAACACAAATCTGACAAACCTTCGCCAAACCGCAATCACCACCGTCCAACATGTCTGCCGGACCCCTCGAGGTGTACAATGGCACCAGTGGTGTCGCCGACAACGGCGGTGACTCGCTGACCTCCGACCTCAACATCTACTATTCATCGGGCGACTTTGCCTGGATCATGACCTCGGCTGCCCTGGTGCTGCTGATGATTCCCGGTGTTGGATTCTTCTACTCCGGCCTCGCCCGCCGCAAGTCTGCGCTGTCGCTCATCTGGCTGTCTATGATGAGTATAGCGGTCGTCAGTTTTCAATGGTTCTTTTGGGGATATTCCCTCACCTTCTCGCACACTGGCAGCTCCTTCATTGGTGACCTGTCCAACTTTGGTCTGATGAAGACGCTTGGTCAACCTTCGGTCGGCAGCACTAAGATCCCGGACATCCTCTTCTGCCTGTACCAGGGCATGTTCGCGGCCATTACGTGAGTATTTTCTCGATTTGAATCAACTTTCCATGGTCTCTCTCTCTCATTTTGTCATTAACATCCCTCTTTAGTCCTGCCCTCGCTATTGGTGCTGCCGCCGACCGCGGTCGCATGCTGCCCTGCATTGTCTTTATTTTCGTCTGGGCCACCATCGTCTACGACCCCATTGCCTACTGGACCTGGAACGCCAACGGCTGGACGTTCAAGCTCGGCGGTCTCGACTTTGCCGGTGGCACGCCCGTCCACATCTCGTCGGGTGCAGCTGCCCTCGCCTACTCGCTGATGCTCGGCAAGCGCACTGGCTACGACAAGAACCAGGGCCTGCCGTACCGCCCCCACAACGTTACCCATGTCGTCCTCGGCACCGTCTTCCTCTGGGTCGGCTGGTTCGGCTTCAACGGTGGCTCGGCTCTGGGCGCCAACATGCGCGCTGTCATGGCTTGCGTTGTCACGAATCTGGCCGCGTCCGTTGCCGGCATCACTTGGTGCCTTCTGGATTACCGCCTGGAGAAGAAGTGGTCGACTGTCGGTTTCTGCTCTGGCGCCATTGCCGGCCTCGTTGCCATCACTCCTGCCTCTGGTTTCGTCCCTGCCTGGTCGGCTGTCATCTATGGTGTTGTCGGTGCCATTGTATGCAACTTTGCCACCAAGCTCAAGTTCTTCCTCGGCATCGATGATGGTCTCGACATCTTTGCTGAGCACGCCGTCGGCGGTATGGCCGGTAACATCCTGACGGCCTTTTTTGCTGCGTAAGTCCTCCCTCTTGCCACCAAACACGTCTTGTCACACACATCTTGCCGCACACATCTTCTCCTACTAACAGTTCAGTGACTACATTGCTCACCTCGATGGCTTCACCGTGATCCCTGGTGGCTGGCTCAACCACAACTGGATCCAGCTCGGCTACCAGCTGGCCGACTGCGTTTCCGGCTTCGCCTACTCATTCGGCATGACCTGCATCATTCTCTTCCTCATGAACCTCGTGCCCGGCTTGAGTCTGCGCGTCACGGCCGAGGAGGAGGAGCTTGGCCTCGACGACGCCCAACTCGGCGAGTTTGCCTACGACTATGTTGAGCTGGCCCGCACGCCCTCTGAGCACATTAATGGCGAGTTCGTGCCCAGCACGCCCGCCAGCGTCCACGAGGGCAAGGAGACCGCTCCGCCGGTCTAAGCGTCACGACTCGAAGAACCTCCGAATCTCGACCGATGCCTGTTTTCTCTCTAAAAGAGGAACACCATGTCACTCTTAATTTGTAGCCATCATTTCTCTGTTTGATATTTTTGCCCGCACTTGTGATTGCGTTTGTTTGATTTTTGGGTCGACGACATAGATAGTGACGGCTATACCTTTTTTATTTTCCTGTTTTTTTATTTTATTTTTACGTATATATTATACCACAACTCGCCAAAACGGGGACGGAGAAATCACATCTTTTTACCAAGGCACACACATTTGACACGAGACAAGAACAGAGAAAGAGGCACAAACTGGCTGAAGTACTTTTAGTAACGTCGATGATCATGAGACCTGACCCAGTTGTCGACATTCGTTTTCACTTCACAGCCATGCATTTGACATCATTTTCTGTATGCCGCTCTGCTCTTCTCTTTCAGCTATCTTCAGTCTCTTGTGCTTGGTATGTCTCGTCCCCAAAGCAGGAAAAAAAAATTGCGCTCGTCATTTTATCACAAACCCAAAAATCTGCACAGGAAAATGCAACTGGAGAAAGAATATTAATGGAACGATGGATAATAAAGAAGGAGCTCGCTATACCCTATACTCACCCCCCAGCTTTTATCGCTTCACCCAAAAATATTCTGAAGGAGCAGCGTGTTTTTGTATTGCCTGTACGAGCCATCGTTCCATAGACTGTTTTTTTTTTTTCTTAAATGCAATTCCTATTATTTCTGAGGGGGCTTCGTCCTATATTTGCATTGTTGCAAGCGCTTTTATTTGATAATTGGTCACCAAAATTATGTGACAGCGGCATCCTCACACCTTTGAGGCGATTTCATATTATGTGATCAGACTGTGACTGAGGTAATAGTCGGAACATAAGACGGCACTCAGTACGGGACTTTTGAACCACATATTTTCAATAATAAGTCATTTATTTATAAATTATTTCGCCTCCTGTGACCCGCCAAAGATCTCCCTCAACTTCAAACTCATGCAAAAGTGACAGATGACTAATACAGACACTCGTGGCCTAAACAGGACTAGCGTGCGCCCTCGAAACGGAACACGGCCCACTCGCCCCTGCACGTTTTGCGTTCCAAACTCGGCAAAAGACGTGGGAAATTTTGCGCTCTTCGATGATCTTATCGGCCACCCATTTTTTCGCATTCTGTACGATGTACGTCGCACTGATTGACTTTCGCACCCACGACCCATAACGCCATTGTCGACACGCTCGCGAACACACATCCACCCGACATCGTACTCGAGTGGACGGACCATTATACACTGCATTCAGCGATCGTTTCTTCGACATTCATGTCCAACTACTATCCTCCGCCGCCCGGCATTGGTGGTGGGCAAAGGTCCTCACTGCCGCCGCCACCACAACTCGACTTCCGTCCTCCCCCCAATGGTCCCAGCGGTAGCGTCGGGCGTGGCGGTGGGCGCGGCGGACGCAACCGTCATGGACGCAACCGTGACCACGGCGACCGGAGCAGCAATGCCAACAGCAGCCTGCCGGCCCGGCCACCGCCCGCACACCAGTTTGGTGCTGGAGGCAGCGGCGGTGGCGACAGCCATGTCCCGCGGGGCGACTTTACGTTTCGTGCCGATAAGCCGGCCGGTGTCCACGAAGCGCAGCTGATGGGCGGCGACCGCTACATCCCTCGCGATTCGTCAAGGAGGGACCACAGTGGACGCGACTTCCGTGACCGTGACCGGGATCGAGATCGCAGAGGAGGCGCACGGAGCGGACCCAGGTCACAACAACACGGCGGTGGTGGACGGCGAGGCGGTGGACGCGAGAGCTACAACGCCAACAACCGCCGGCACGGTGGCCGGGGCGGCGGGTACAACACGAACTTTGCGGACCTGCGCTTCCTGGCTGCCAACCGGCCCATCCTCAACCAGAGCGACATCTCGGCCGGCGGCATCGTTCAGGATTTTGTCAAAGACAGCAACGCGGGCACCACGTACCTGAACCTGGATGAATTGTCAGACAGCGACGAGGCCGAGATGGACATTTCGGGCGACGAGGACGGCACGTCGGCCCCGCCGCGGAAACGCGCGCGTCTGGGTGCTAAAGACGGCGACGAGGTGCCCAAGTGGTCGAACCCAGATCCTTACACTGTTTTGCCGCCAACTGAAGCAGGCGTGCGCAAGAAGGACGTCGTGCAGCTGATCCGCAAGGCTCGTGTGCAGGGCGAAAAGGCGGCAGCCGCCACGTCAGGCGACACGGAAGAGTTCATCTCGTGCGGCTTTGACAGCAGCAGCGAAGAAGAGGGCGAGGCAGCGGAAGAGTCAGCTGCGGATGAAAACAATGGTGACACGGACACGAACATCATTGGTGTCGACAGAATAGGAAGGAACGGCAAAATGACAAAAGCGGGCGAGCGCGACGCGTCTGCTGCTGGTGCTGCTTCTGCTGCTACAAACGACAACCAAACAAACAACATTGCACCGCCAGTCGACGCACCCAAGGGCCCTCGTGCTGCTACAAAACAAAACAAGAACGGCATAACATCTGCATCTTCTCCCGTGCCTACCCCCTCCTCACTGTCGACCGAGCTCCGTACCAACCGCAAGCGCACCCACGACGACCAGCTCAAGCCGCTGCTGCTGCCGGACCATGCCATCCTGAAAAAGACCACCAAGATGCCTGTTGGTGGCTACATCCTGCCCATGTGGCAGGTCAAGGCAGGCGAAACCGCCTGTCCCTGGCTGCTCGAGGACCACGCCGCCGATACGAGCCATATGGGCGTGTGGTTGCACAAGGAGATTTTCGACTTTTATGCATACATCAGGCCGCGCACCTTTGAGCAGACGCTCCGCCAGGCGCTGCTGGACGACCTGGACGCCATGGTGCGCAAGCGGTTCCCTAACGGCCGCATCCACTGCTTCGGTAGCTTCATGTCCGGGCTCTACCTGCCGACGGGCGACATGGATATTGTCATGTGCTCGACGCAGTTTCTCAATAATCGCGCGGCTGTCTTCAGCAAGAAGAACCATCTCTTCAAGTTTGGTGCGTTCCTGTGTGGGAGCAACATGGCCGAGCGCGAGCACCTCGAGCACATCACCAAGGCCAAGGTGCCGCTGGTCAAGTACATTGACCTCAAGACGGGCTTGAAGGTGGACGTGTCCTTTGAGAACATGAACGGTGTCGTGGCCAACAAGACCTTTTTGAAGTGGAAGGAGCAGTTCCCTGAGATGCCGATCCTGGTCACCATGATCAAGCAGTTTTTGACAATGCGCGGCCTCAACGAGCCTGTCAATGGCGGCATCGGCGGGTTCTCGGTCATCTGCCTGGTCGTCAGCATGCTGCAGCTCATGCCACCGATGCAGACCAAGGACATGGTGGGCCAGAACCACCTGGGTGACCTTCTGATGCACTTTTTCGACCTTTACGGCAACAAGTTCAACTACGAAGCCACGGCCATATCCATGAATCCTCCTGGCTACGTTGCAAAGGTAAGCCTTCACTGATCCTTTCCTCCCTGGTGCACATTTTGCTAATCCTCCTCCCCCCTTCCTCCAGTCCAAGGTTCGCCATTTCGTGTACAAGAACCCCGACCGCCTGTCCATCATCGACCCCAACAACCCGGAAAACGACATCTCGGGCGGTTCCAAGAATACCTCGGCCATCATGCGCGCTTTCTCCGACGCCTTTGACTCGCTGCAGAAGCGCATGATGGATCTGGCTAAGCTCCCCGCCGATGCCCGCGCCGGCCAGAGCATCCTGAGCGTCGTGCTTGAGGGCGACTACTCGACCTACCGCGCCCAGCGCGAATACCTCCGCGAGTTGTACACCCGCCAGTACAACCACGAGCCGAGTGATTAGGCATGATATGCTTCCTTTTGTTTCTTTCGTTTCTTTCTCGTTACGAAGCGCCTTGTGGCTTCTGCACGGCCGGCGTTCCAAGGGGTGCATTTTGCAGTGGTTTCTCGAAACCGCGATCAATGTGGTTCTGAGTACCTGGCGTTCCGGTTGTTTACGTTCATTTGCTTTCCTTCTTCTTTCGTTTTTGTTTTTACTACACCCGTGATGGAAGGCGGATTTTGGGAGGTTGGTGATCATTGCATGACTATACCCTTTGCATGACATGACTGGGGGGGATCTTTTCCATTTCACTGCATTCACGTTTCTCTGTGATTTCTCCCATACTTCACTTGTTCCACCCTCCATGCCCTTTCTGTGGGCGAGACGACACGGGTCTCTTGTTATGTTACCACGGGAGAGGACAGTGTTTGACATGCGTACACCATATTTTCCACGAAAGACGGACGACACAGCCGGATGCTGTCCTCGACCCTTCGTTTGGCATTTGGCCAAGAACAAAAAAAATCAGAATTCTTTTTTTTGTTCTTTTCCTTTGTTCCCTTTCCCTCGCCCCGCTCTGCTCGTCACTGGCAACCAGGATGACAACCGTGAATTTGGACGGGAATGTGAGAAGACTCTTTATTTACGGAAATTCTTGCTAACCATTTTGACAGGCTCTCATTACTGTTTCAATTACGAAACAAGCGAACAATTTTTTTTACGTGGTTCCAATTCTCGGTTATTCCAATGACTCAAGTCATTTTTCTGAGTTGAGACGCTGGGGAAACCGAGAACTGTGGCCATCTCTTCTCACTGCATGCCTGGACCTTGTTTGTTTGGCTGCGGGGAGTCGAGGCTCTATGCAGCCACAGGATGGCTGTTCCCGATTCTAGGCCAGAGAGAGAGCATGACCCTCTTGCAACAACAGCCATTGTCTGGACTCGAAGCTACATCGAAGCCACATCGAAGACTGAAGTCAATTACACTGTCAGTCTAGAACAGCAGCCGAGTACAGTAACTGTACATTCTCGGAGTGGGTGGAAAGTGACTTTGCGAGAAATATCGCCAGTTCAGATCACAATCGCGGCACGTTAATAAGATGTATCACTATAAAAGCAAACGATGTCATATTGTGTGTTCATAATAATGTTCCTGAATGCACCGTCTCCTAAAGAGAATATCCGCGAATCAATGCAGAGACCCAATGATACAAAACGAGAAAAAGAGGTATAAAGTACAAGAGCCTCCCATCAGCAGTAGCTCAGCAACTGGATGTATGCAACAAAAAAAATGTGTGTAAAAAGATAAAGTAAGCCGTACAGACGAAGATGAAGGACAACGAAATGGCTGTCGGTCAAAAGTACATGGAGAGGTTAGTCAAGTGAACGAGCCCGCTCCAGATGCACCACAAGAGGAAGAGTGCCTTTAAGCAGCGCAAGTAAAGTCGCAGCTGAGGCCGGCCTGGGTCGTCACCAGCTGGGCCTTGCACAGCGCCGTTCCGCTAGCCTGCTGCACGCAGCAGCCCGATGCACAATCAGCCGAACTGAAGCACTGGCCAGTGATGAACTGCTGGCCGGAGCCCTTTCCGACATTTTGGCTGCCCGCCAGGCTGGTATTGACGGTGCACTGCGCCGATCCGGCCGCACCTGTCACAGCCGAACCAGTCGACGAGCCATTGTTGCTGCTGGGAGAAGTCGAAGCAGATGAGGACGAGGACGAAGCGGAAGACGCAGCACCACCAGTGCAGCTAGAGTCACAGGTCAGACCTGCCTGGGTCGTCACCAGCTCAGCCTTGCACAGAGAGATACCGTCCGACTGCAGCACACAGCAGCCCGACGCGCAGTCGGCCGCCGTGAAGCACTGACCCGTGATAAATTGGGTGCCGGAGCCTGTTCCGACGTTCTGGCTGCCGGCCAGAGTGGTATCTATGGCGGGGCAGGAGCCCGTTGATGAGCCACCAGAGGCCGTAGCCGCAACATTGGTGGCAGGCTGCGAGACAGCTGCATCGGATGACGAAGAGGTGGCTGAGCTGGTCGAACCGGAGCAGGAGAAGTCGCAAGTCAAACCGGCCTGCTCAGTGACAAGTTGGGCCTTGCAGAGGGCAGGGCCGCTGGCCTGGGCAACACAGCAGCCGGACGCACAGTCAGCGGCGCTGAGGCACTGACCAGTAATAAACTGCGTGCCAGAGCCAGTGCCGACATTCTGGCTTCCGGCGAGACTAGTGTCGACGGCGCACTGAGCAGAAGAGCCGGAGCTGTTGGTAGTGGAGGAAGTAGCGGCGGCGGCCGGGGGTGAGGCAGCGGCAGGCGCAGAAGAGTCGGTCGAGCTGTCGCCATCACCAAAACCGCAGCCGGCCTTGCCATTGACATTACCGACATCGATGCCGGAGCAGATACCAGTGGAAGACCCGCCGGCAATAAAGGCACAGCAGGACTGGACGACAGCTTGGCTACAGTCGGCGGTGCTCAGGCAGCCGCCGGTGATGAACTGTAGACCCTGACCGTTACCGACTTTGTTCGCGCCGTTTGGATCAGGGGTGATGGGACTGGGAGCAGCAGTGGCAATGGCAGCAACTGTTTTGTGTTAGTAATTGACGAAATGCTGGGGAAATACGTGAGGATAAGGGCAAATCACATACAAGCCACGAGAGCAACAAAGGAACGTGCCATTGTTGGATGAAAAAAAGAGACGAAAGAAGAAATTGGAGAAAAGAGGATCGAGAAATGGTTTGTGGAAAGTTTGAGACCGGTCTGTGTCGTAGAAAGTAAAACAATAGGTGATATAAAATGAGTGTTAAAACAGGTTCATGAAAATTCTGTAAAAAATGACACCAGGCCAATATTGTTTTGAAACATAAGGAGTGAAGAAGTGAAGTCGAGAAATGAAGTTGAGAAGTGAAAGAGAAAAGAAAAGAAAGAAAGAATAAAAAACTGAGAAATCTGTTGATGTTGAAAGAGTCGACGAAGAGAGGCGAGAAACAGAAACAATAGATAGATGGAAGGAGAGGATCATTGCAACCTTATATATCAAACATCGATGCTCGTTCATCTCGAAAGGGAATCCACTCTTGCCGTCCGCGGTCATCGCCACAGTCGTCTGCACATCCGTCCATGCAATTACAACATGGTTGCCCTTCTGCTCCTCTACTTTGCCTCTCCGCAGCCTACCCTACCCCTGGCGGCACATCATTATCCTGAAGATCACCCTCAGATCATGGGGAGGCTGAGCAACCAGGGTTCAGGTGAGGTACGAGAGCGTCGGACGACAGTCCAAGGACGACATTCCAAGTTGGGACAGCTCCGTACACGAGTGGGAAACCTCTCGGCTGCAACGTTGAGCAGCAGTCTGTGCGGTGACAGAATGTAACAAGTGGCACGGGGAAGTCGAGAGCAGGGGTTGTCAGAGGCGAGGATGGATGGTGAAGGCGGATGCAGTGGAGGAGGTGACCAAAAGAGCATGGCGCGAGAGAAGGGGAAACAGAAACAGGAGAAGGGGAGTTTGGGGAGGGGAGTTTGAGAAAGTAGTCGGGAAACTTGCAATAGAATGAAAAAGGAAGAAAAAGAGAACATACCTAACGGTCTCGGCATACGCACCCAAGGTGAGTGCGTTTCTTGTAACTCCGAACGCGTTCTTGGCCATTCCAGATCCATGTTTCCTGACGTTTCTGTCCGTTTTCCATGTCCATGCAGTGCCGAGTCATGCACATGGTCCACAGCAAGCCCCCAAGTTCCCCTGGCAAATCACAACGGTTTGCCCAGTCACCTTCCTATGAGGAGAGACCGGATGCAATAATTGGCGGCTTCACTCTGTCTGAAAAGGGTTTTTGATGCAGCCATCGAGGCTGGGATACCAGGAAAAAGTAGTACTTGTTGATACAAGATGAGACAGGCGGCAACTGGAGACGGAGCTGAGAGAAGCAGAGACTCTCCGGTCAGACCAGAGTTTGACTAGACGTTGGTCAAGGCGGGATACTATCGAGACATCGTCCCGACAAGAGATATTTGGAAAACAAGACATGGCAAGCGAAGGATGACAGACGTGAACGCGTCTATTGCGTGTCAGTGCACTCCGTAGTCCAGATGACACGCAGACTGTGTGTTCAGCATTGACAAGAAACACGAGAAAGGCGCAGTTGCGTGGTCTACTTTCAGACGACGAATGTTGTTTCTGGTTGTAACTGGATGTTTTGATGGTTTCTGCGTCTGTCTTCTGTCTGCTACTTTTGGATCTTTGTGTTTCTTGTGTTTCGGTCGTTCCTGCCATGCTACTCCGTCCCGTGTTAACGACATACGACGTGGAAAGAGCGATCGATACGTCCTAGGACATGTCGTTGCACCGCTCACACAAACCCTAAGCCAAGCTTTCGGCTTACACTCCGTGTGCCAATAGAGGGTTAGCGCCACTGCAACGCCACAGACATATTTCTCAACACACTTCAAACCGTGACCCCTTGCTCCCCTGAAAGCCCTGAGAACGTTTGACATAGCGCCCTTTTCTCCGTACAAAGCGCTGCTAAATAAGCACAACGTCGCTAAAATAGCCTCTATCTACCTTTTCCCCAGCGCTGCCCATGAGCGCCGCACAGAAAAGAATTTCTGCCTCGGGTTTGATTGCTCCCTCAGAATCCCTGTTCTCAAACCTGAAGAGCCGCAAAACCTCGACCTCGACCCCTTCTCTCCTTTGTTTGCCGGGCACCATGCATACCTGCTATCAACTGTCTCGGCGTTACATCCGGGCAACGTTAATCCATCTCTGATATATGGGTTTTTTGTTTTCTTTATGTTCTCTAGCATTTCCATGTCATTCGCTTTCAATTACCTTTTATGCTCTTCCATTTCGCTGCATGTTATGATTACCATGAAAGGCTGCGCCGCCGTCGTCGATCGCAGTTGAACGAAACATGGCCGAGAACAACAAGTCGCCACTTGGGATGGAGGGCGGAGTAACAGTGCTATTAAAGCAGAATAAAGAGGCAATTATGCTTCTTGTTACGCTTGATTCTAACTTGACCTTTAAATGTTGCCTAGTACCAAAGTCGTACGTCGTACGACGATGTCTCTGTCGAACTGGCTGCCGTCCCTCTTCTTCCGTCTGACTTGCGAGCTGTTTCGCATGATGTGATGAAACATTTTCGTTTCTTCTACGATTATTCACACACCCTTCACATCCATGTGCCTTTACGTGTTTCAATCGAAATCACACTCCACATAGGATACAATGATGGCGTTTCTGAAAGCAGCTTTTTTCGAGATCTGGAAGAAGGCAACAAAAACGTCTTGAAAAGAGACGCATAGGTATCCCTGCTTGTCATAGTCTCGTCAAGTGAGTTTACATCGAAATTGTGTTTGTATTGCTCGGAAAAGATGTCAACATTATAGACGGAACGTTGCACAACTTACAAAACTGTATTTTTTTTGTCTCTACCTTCTCAATTGTTTATCATAATTACCTCAACTACGATACTCGAGTTTCCATGACCGGATTGACTGTGACGTAGGGTCTTTTTTAAATATAACTAATAAGCAATAGTACAAGGGGTAAAAAAAAGAAAATACTATTACAATTTGCGGAGAAACAATTAAGAAAATACAGGAAAAAGAAACTAAAAAGAAACGGGCAACCGACAACCTTTTTTAAACATGTCGGAACAAGATACTTAAAATTGTAAACAACATAACGTACAAAAGACCACGGCAAATTGTAAACGCAAGCGTAAAAGTAATTCAAAACAGCCGCCACTTTATTTGCATTCGCCATTCCCCTTGTCGGTTGTCATGAGTTGCGCAGATCAACCAAGACACCTACGATGACTTGCACTTGCTAGACCTTAACGTACGCCATTTTAACGGCGGAACTGTCGTCACTGTTCTAAAGCTCCACGGGCTAAGCCGCACACTAACGTCGTCAGCCAATTCGCCTCCCCGCGCCTTCGGAGCCCTCCCCAATACGCTCGTGTCACGCAACGTCATCCGCGAGGCTGACAGTTGAAACTAGACGTAGGCGGCAGTTACGCATTTGGGCTGTTAAAAAGCGCGGGCATCACGACTTTGTTTCAACCTCATTTCTTTTTTTTTTTTTTTGCTTATGCACCATTTTTGCCTTCCCATTGTAGCCTCATTGTCACCTGCCCGCCCCTCCCCTCCCCGCATTCTCCCTAATGGACGATTTTGTACCCCCGCCGCCACGACCGCCGCCGTTGCTGCCGCCCGCGTCCCTTCACCATCTCTGCACTCACGGCTACATCGGCCTCAACCTGCCTCACCACCTCGCCCAGCAATACGAACAGCTGCTCGCCGCCTCCGATGCCTTCTTTGCCCAACCTCTCGCAGCCAAGCTGCCCTACCGTCCGGCCAACGACAAACCACCGGGCCACCTTGGCCCGCCCTCCAGCCCCACGAACACCGAGCGCGGCTACACACACCTGGACGGCGAAAAGGAGTACCTGACCCTGCGCAAAAGCATGACACATCTGCCACCGGGAATTTACGATGCCGCCGCACCTGTTTGGCACGACACGGCGCACCTGCTGCACCGCATTCTGGGCGACATTGGCGTGTACCTTGGGTTAGGCCCAACGGCCTGGGACGGCGTGGTGGCAGACAGTCTGGAGCCGGGCGACGGTGTGTACTATAGCGATGCCGTCATTGCTGCGGCCGAAGCCGAACACAGCGACGGAAAAGGAGAGGGGGAAGGGCAGGGGAAAGGCAGCGTGGACGAGGATGGCGACGATGAGCCTGTCGGCGGCAGTCCACCAAAAAGAGTGTCACACCACCCACGCGATGACCCCCCGACTCTGTTGCGTTTGTTCCGCTACGAACCGGGAGGCGGCGGTGCGGAGCAGCACCGCGACCTGGGCCTTTTGACTATCTGTGTGTGTTGGGGCAAGGGCCTGCAAGTGAAGCCCCAACCGCCAGGGCCATTGGCACCACCGCAGTCGGCTGACGACGGCGGCCCGACATTGGCTCCTCCATCTGCTCCTCCACCTGCCCCTGACTGGGTCGACGCGCCTCAGGTCACCGTTATGACAGGCGATACCTTGCGCGTCCTCAGCAGCAACCGCATTCCATCGGCCATTCACAGGGTCGTCGTTGACCCAAAGGAAGCGGCCGCGGCGGCAGAAGCGAGGACTGGTGGGGGTACAGTCGACACGCCTCCCGGCGAGAGCCGCCGTAGCATCGTGTTTGCGCTGCGTGCCACAACCGCCGGCGACATTGCCCTGTCCGACTTTGGCGGCTTCGGCAGCATCGGCGCCCGAGAGCTGTACGACAACATCCGCAAGTCGCGCGTCAACATCAATGCAGACAAGGACCGGCGTGCCTTGATGCGTGCCGAGTATCAAAGAGTCAAAGGGATCAAGGCGGAAAAGAGAGGGGACAATGAAAATGAAAATGAAACGAGCACCGACGGTGACCGGACATTTACGCAAGACAAGGGTGAGTCGATGGACGGTGACACAACCATCGAAGGTGAGATTACTGGCGTGGCGTGAGAGACACGGTCGAGGTGCCGCGCTTGTGATAGGAAGACCCGTGAGGCACGTTTTTATGAAGCAGTGATACATCGCTGTTCGACAAAAAGTTGGGTGCCAAAGAAGGCAGACTTGCTAAGAATACGGACTGGTGCAACGCTCTCAAATTAAACAGAAACGGAGTAAATGAGACAAGATGAATCGACGAGTGTATAATTTGCCAACACCTGGCGCCGGCTCAGTTGTGATATGAAAACAAATGGCAAAATAAAATAGTCATTGTAATCCCTTTGCCGCTGGTAAGCTACCGCACGCCATAATTTCCCCTTACAGAATGCCACAAATATCAGAAATGTTTCCAAGACAACGCAGTAAAACCAGGCAAACGAATCGAGTCAAAAAAAAAAAAAAAAAAAAAAAAAAAAAACCACAAACACAACGATCTGCCCACGACATCTGAAGTCCAATGTCCCGACTCAACCAATCACGTGGTCTACCCATTTCATCCACTCGGGGTCGTTGCACAGCACGTCCATCGACGTCTTCGGCAAGGTGACGAGGAGCTCGTGTGTGGGCGAGAGGGCCTTGGCCGGAAGAATCAAAGCTCCGCTCATGTTCCACATCCCCTGCAGCCTTCGGATTACCTCTGGAGTGGAATCACCCTTGATGCCCGGGATGTTCCATTTTGTGTCCGCACCAAAAAATCGCCACGTGTTGAAGCCCAAGTCCTGCGGCGTCCGGGGGTCAAATCGGAGACCGACAAAGCGCGGGTCCGAGACGCGGCTGAATAGCTCGGTACGGTCAGAGACAAAATCGTCGTCCACACCCGCAATCGTCTTCTCGATCGTGAAGACGAGCTTGGCCAGGTCGGACGGGCTGCTTGAAGCACGCGAGAGGATGCTGTCCTTGGTCGGTAGCTGCGTCACGGCAATGGCCGTGGCATTGCCAAAGTAAGTCGGTTTGAGGTCGTGCAGCGCCCGGCTCTTCCAGTTCACCATTGTCTGTAGAAGGGCGATGCCGTCAACCTCTGGACTATGTGGCATGTACTGCGTGGCATCGCACAGCCGGGCTTTTGAGATGTGCGCCCACGTCAGACCAGCGAGGCAGGTGTAGTTAGAAGGAAGATTAAACACCGGGGTAGATTGACCGCTGGTTCTCGTCTTGGATTCGTCACTCAACCTCCCATCTGTGCTGCTAATTCCATTTCGGCTGGTTATGGCCGGTTTGCCGGCACCAAACACAGAGCAACGTAGTTGGCTGAGACGGGCGTTGTCAAAAACAAATATCTTGCCGATCTTGGTGATGTCCGCCATGGGAACGCCGCCCGGTCTGAAATTTGGCGTCGTTGGACCAACTGGCTGGTCGAGGATCTGGTACTCTGGCACCTTTTGGAGAAGCTCGTTAAGCCGGCTTCCGACCTTGTCATTGGTATTGGACTCATTGGCAAATGGGACGTTAAGATGCTTGGTCGACGGAGCTTCAAATGTAAGCCCGCGTGTCTGCTGAGAAAACATGTCAAGGAAAATGCGTTTGCAGTCCCCATCTGCAAAGGCATGGCAGAAGTAGACGACTAGGAAGAGGCCACCAGGAATTGTGAATGCCTTTACAACTGAGACGGGCACGCCTGGCTGGCCTTCGGCCAACTGACACAACAGTAAAAACTGCGGATGAACAAATGCGCCGGGAGGAAACTCAGCAGACTTGAGCTCGTCGTAGGAGTCATAGGGAAACTCTTTGGGAACACCCTCAACCGAAAACGGAATTGTGCTGTTCTGCCCAGAAATATGGTACACACTTCCATTCTCGCGCACCTCAAGCGTACCGGCGAGGTCAGGCCGGTGTAGTGCAACACGGGCTAGGCTATCTGCGATATGCTTCATCGCCGCATCAGTTTGTGTGTTGTCGAACGGGAAGCATAGAGCGATGCTCATGTATCCTCTCATTGCAACTTGGTCCCAGCCGGACAGCCGCGTCGCTGTACGCTCCTTTTGTGCCATGGTGACGTTTGGCAGTGGTGAGGTTGTAGCCGGGAGAGTTGTAGTTTGTGATGTCACAGATCCTGGCTTCACTGAAACACGAAGTAATAATCGTCGTCTAGACCAAGAACGAGTTGAGCTGCTAGAAGTATATGGCCAAGGTTGCGGACCGGGCAATCGATTTTGGGCGTCTTTTGAAAGAAAGCAAAGTGGCGGACGAGGCCACCGGATAGGGCAAACAGACAAGAGCCTCTTCCACCGGTGTGCGGTTAAGTTTGGCTCGTTGGCAGACCTCGAAGGTGGCTTTGAAGTATCGTCACTCGTCCGCTCGTGTTTGTGATGCTGCTCAAGACAGTCACTGGGAGAAGGTGATAGTGCCATGGTAGGGCAGTATATATATAGATAGATAGATACTTTTGGGCAGAGAGCACAGAGTGATCACCACGACTGAGTGTACACGACGTTAAGTGAGTGACGAAGCGAGGGAAGTGACGAGGGTAGTGACGAGGTGTGTGAGATGTGTTGTTGGTTGGAAACTGCAAAGAACTAGTCAAGAGACAAAGCACCTTAGTCTTGTTTCCAAAATAGGGGGCCTCCTGGTTAATGGAAGTATGCAGTCGGAGGGCTGAGAGAGATCAGATAAATAAATGCGATAAAACAAGAGAGGAAGTCGTCCCGTTTAGAGCGAACCCTGACCTGAGACAATGTATTCTGGGAGCCTTCGGTGTTCTCTCTGTGCAACGACGATAGAAAGGACAGCTTTTGAGCTGGCAGCTTTAACACTTAACATGAATGCACCATGAAAAGAGGTTGCTTAAAACAAGGGGCAATTCGCCAGGAGCACCATGGAGTGCCAGGAACAAACTAACAATGAAACTGTAGACGACCGCAAGCGAAATAAAGGAGACGCAGGTGCAGAGGTGTAAGTATACAGACACTGTTTGGGGGTGAGCCGTAGAACAAAAAGACTGGGCGAAGAAGGGAAAGAAGATAGAGAAACACCACGGAATGAAAACAGCGACCAAAAACAATCCCGTTCGACGAAACTAAGAAACACTTGAAAGGATTGTAGCTCAAACTTCGTGGGAAAATGTTGTAGGAGAAATAACGAACAGCGTCTATTCGGCAAGGAGCCCCAGGTATGGTATGAAAATCTAAACGGGGCTTTGAATTCTGTTGGTGGAGGAAAGTGAGAAAATATGGCAACGCTGAAGAAGGGAATAGATAGAAAGTAACAAGGTATCGGAAGAGGAGAAATGACTAAGGTTAAGAACAACACCGTAAACGCAAAGCAGAAAGAAAGCAAAGCACCTTGATTCAAGCGCCCGTTGACATCACATTCAGAGCGGATGGGCAGGTGATCGTCAGTCTGCACTAGCCCAATTAAATCCGATCCTAGAGCCAGGCAAGGGTAGCTAGACTGCAATAGTCGCAGCTGAATATACTTGTACATACTTTAGGAACTCGAAAGAAAGATGCAAGGGTGTAGGGCAAGTCGACTTGATTTTGACCTGTTAGGAAAACTGTCCCTTTGGGAACTTCCTCGAAGTCGGCCGAGGTCGTTTCGTATTCGTTTCTCTCGCTATCCGTATCATTCCCAAGACACTGATGGGATTTGATTTTGTACTCTGGAGCCCGGCCCCCGTCTTGATATCCGTGCTACTGCGTATGCTCTTTTTCGCACAAGTGACGGCACTCACGGAAGTGAACCGATTTACCGCATCCTGTTTTGTCACCGTGAGTCTCGACGGGGCTCATGGACCAGCACATCAGGAAGGGCCGGAGCAATAAGAAAATGTAGAGATATAAAATGACTCCCGACAGGTTGTAGGTTGTGGAGTGGGTTCTGGGTAGGTGTGGCATACGATAAAAGACTGCGATATAGTGCTCTATCCGCTGAGTGCCATGAAGAGGGATTCTAACCCGTTTGTCGAAAGGCACAGGGTTCTGGAGATGTCCAGAATAGGCAGCCCCAGCTCCGGCTGGGCTTTATCAGACGAACTTGGGAGGATGCGAAATAATAAAAGCGACAAGGGTTAGTAAATTCGGCTTAGGGAGTTTCTTGCGTCGACATAGCGCTTTGGGCGTACTATACGCACGATGAAGCGGATTCCAGTCTTTCGAATGCGATTGGAGAGAATATAAGTTTGTATTCCATGCTCATGATGCCTTCCAAGTGGACGATCGAGATACTGTTTTCCAAGAAAGGGGTGGATAGCTGTGGCTGCGAGTTGCGAAACAGAGACAAACGAAGGAAGGCCCCAATGGTCTTTGACTGGAGGACGAATAGGGACGTGCAGCCGGCACCGCCGCTATTCAGCCGCGCGCAGCGCCGGGGACAGGGGGTGCTGTAACAGAGGCATGTAAGATTTCGACCAACCTGCGCTGGGACTCGTGTGACTGCCTTGAGAACGGAGCACACATTTGGCTGTGCTCACTGCTAGCTTTTTTAAAAATAAAAAATAAAAATAAATCAAGCCTGTCCTTGGCTGAAAGATTGTGAGAAGGATGGCGCGGGTGTGGTCCGCTCCAACCAGAGAGAGGCGAAGGCTGTCATTGGCCAAGGGTGTATAAGTGAACGGAAAAGAGGTTGCAACGGGGGCGAGATTGGCTGCGGGAAGTGGGCAGCGGAGAGAAACCTGGTGATGGATGTACGTCGTAATACGTCGTATCACTTTGAATGTTTCAGAGAGTACAAAAAAAGGAAGTGAAAAAGGAAGCGGTAAGGGGGCACAGAGGCAGAGGGAGGAAGCTGAAGATGCATTGGGAAAGGGAGGGGGGGGGGGAGAGCGGAGGTAAGACAACTTGAGAAGGAAAGAAGAAACGCGGCGGGGGTGTGGGAAGCCCGGAGGAAAAGGAAGTCACGCCAAATTACTTTTCCGAGTATTTCGTAAAATAGAATCGTCGCGCAAGGAACGGAAGGCGCCATCCCAAAGGAGCAAAGCGACGACAAATGACCACACAACAAAGGCACAATGAGAGGAAAGCGCAACCAGCAGACTCGCACACCTCCACGGCGCAGTTCAGAAAGAGGAAAGAGCGAGGCAACTCCATGTCAGAATAGAGCAGGTACATGCACGCCCACATTAGTAGAGGCGGTCGGCTCAACGGTGCAGGAGCGATTGGTTGACCGTTTGAGAAGTAATTGCTCCGTAGAAGTATGACGCTTAAAACGCACATCCCAAGGCAGGCGCGTCCGACGTGCATACCTGATGTCTCGCTTGCCTTCCCCTGGGCTTTGTTTCCCAACCGTCGGACGTCATAAGTGTGTCTTGATGTGTGTCCTGATTTGTGTCCCGACTTTGTGTCCCGACTTTGTGTCCCGACTTTGTGTCCCGACTTTGTGTCCCGACTTTGTGTCCCGACTTTGTGTCCCGACTTTGTGTCCTGGTTTCCTCTCATTCCCACCACCTTCATTCGCTTATTTTTCCGATTTCTGACGAGCACGCCTCACTTTTCTCCCAGAGTCGGACGTATTCTTGCCCTGCATCGCGCAGCCCCAATTTTGCCGCCGTTGCTTGCACCAGAGTCATCCACGTTGTGGCTCCGCAATTGGCAAGCTGAACGTCTTAGCTGACCGCGACGCCGTTGAAGGTGGCAGGTCGATGGAGCCTACCAAAGCATTACATGTGGTATTTCACTCTCACAGTACTTTTTACCAAATGCCTTTGTCCATCCTCTGGGGGCCAGCAAACGTTGTTGTCGTCAGCTTGTACCACGATTGTTCCTCTCCTCACCGTGTCTTCGTTTCTCCCTGAATTTCTTGGCCAATGTTAACAATTGTCACATTTATCCACTCTGGCAACGCGCATCCTCCTACAAACAACGAAGTAGCCTGGACCCCATTCCCGTTTCCCCTAGTGCCCTCAACGGCAAAGCGGGCTGGCCCAGGCCGTGCTTCTGACCATGTGTCTAGCACTAGTGCTGCCGTCCGGGTTGGTGCCCGTCCAGCGCCTTGCTAACCGCCTACAAGGGTGTCGGACGCAGATCCGAGAGGTCCTCTGTCCACCAGTGTTCAGTTCTCATATGGGGGAGGTCCAGGTGTCCTGCTGCACGTCTCCACCAGAACGAGAACGAGTCAGGGAGGTAAGATACACGATGACTGGCAGTTCCGTGATACGGAGGGCCGCCGGTTGAAAATATTACTTTGGGCAAAAGCCGGTGTGGGGACATCTTGTGCATGCATGCAACACAGTCTTGACAAAAGGGCAGATTACAGAAAGCAACAGCACCCCGGTTCCCTACGGAGTACCCTTTTCCCGTTGCTTTCTTCACCTCCTCACGCCATTACAATCATGGCCGAAGCACTGGGCACATCGGATGCTACGTTGGAGAGCCCGTAGTACGAACGGGCAAGACGTGAAATTACGACCGGGCAGACGTATGCTCAACCAGGAAATGGGAAATGGAACCCTGCTAGTTTGGCCTGCACTATCGACAGGGCCTGGGTTTGGGCGGCTTGATAGAACACGGACCTTGCGGCACCAACAGACTTGGAAACCCTTTATGGGAAAACAACCCGTCGACGAAAGTTGGGTGGCATGATGCAAATTCTCTAGCATATATGCCGGTGATACAGATAGACACGGGGCACGCTCTGCACACAATTAGACTTGCACCCGCCATCTCTGCAGCAACTTTGGTGAGCACAACATGGGCAGCCAAGGTCGGCATCAAACGTCCCAGGCCTGGCCCACCTGGGACACGGGGATTTTCACGCTTGACCAGAAAGTGAAGCGCCATGACGCCACCAACTCCCTCTATTGGCTACAAAAGCGGACGCCACCAGTTATCGTTCACCACTGTGTTGAATGTCTGGAGTACAACGCCTGGATACAGAGATTGGTGTTAACTCTTTTTTTCACCTAGGCCGCTGCAAGTGACAAGTCAGAATACTCCGTACGTGGCCAGATGTTCTCAATACTCATTTGAGAGCATTGTTTTCATGGCACCGTCACAATACCGGGCGAACAACAATGGGATGCCCCGTCCGCTTCATAAGATGGGGCAGGAAAATGTCGGCCAGGCCAGGCTCGATCCTGACCGCACCACCCGGGCTATTGCCATCCCCCCCCCCCCCAATATGTATCATATGTCTCATGTGATATGTCCATCTCTGGTCAAAGGCTACCCAAAAAAGTATTCATGATGCTTGTTTCCCACTTCGTCGTGCGACTTACTGACGTGTGTGGTAGAAGGCATTCTTACGCTTATTGGTGCTACCAATTTCCCGTCTTCCTTCCTTCTTCTCCCGATACGGAGTACTATGACAAGAAGGCACACACCTTGTCTGAGTCCCTTCCCGTTTGCTCCTTTGGGTCGTACACTCTCATGGTCCGATGTTGTGTCGCTGGATGGAGCCTGCGTTGTCCCAACAGACACGCATACGTGTCTTGCGTCAAGGTAAGTCACTGTTGAGCGTAATGCAGGCTTGTTGGTCCATGGGGGCGCAAACATGTCAGTTACAGGCGGCACGTCAACTTTTCAAATATGGTGTTGCAGGATAATGAGTATTTACAAGAAGATACTCAAAGACAGCACAATACGACGTACGTACTCCGTACATAACGTAGTCGCAGAACATTATCCCGCCTGCTGCCAAAATTACGACTTGACCCTTAGGGGGGTTGTCCTTGGCGCCGTTCACAGGCCTGACCCCACACCGTCGCATATTTGCATCTGAACAACACACCGCTCTGGAGGTGTGTTTTTAACGGCATCTTAAACATCCCCAACCTCTAAGACACAAGTTTATCTCAAGCCTCTAAGATATTGAAACGTCACAAAATCGGTGATGCCCATCCCACTGCAGGCTACTTATGTTACATCATACAATGTACAATGCCTTCCCATTATGTTTCTGTTTCGCTGTCACGCTTCTGATCACTCACCGACAAATGGCTTGCCAGCAGTGGACTGAATAATAGCCAGCGTCGGTTTTGCGGCGGCGCCTCCTGCACCCCGAACCAACAAGGCACAGATGCGCAAAGGACCCTTTGTTCTGGCAAATGAGGAACGCAGAACGCAGTACTACCTCCACCAGACGTTGCTGTTTTCTTTCCTTTTTCCCACATCGGGCCTCAAGTTGTTTTCTTTTTCCTCGTTTTCTAAAACTCGCCTTCAGCTGGAAGTGAGACGTTTCCATCTGATTGCGGGCTAAGGCTGAGTGAGGCTCCGGTTCGGACAGCATGCACTGGCTCTTACGCGGGATAGCCGAGAAAAACTAAATGTCGATGGATGGGAAGACGTTTCCTGATGCTCAGCCCCCGTGGGAGTGGCACCAAAACAAGCGAGATTTCGCATCGTGAACCTGATAATGAGATATGTGTCCGAGACCGAAGAGGAATAGATGCACATAGGGGACAGGCCCCGAATCTAACCTGTTGCTGCAATGTTTTGCCAAGAGATCTCGAAATATCCACGACTTAATGGTCCTTACCCATTACGTATTCTGTCGCTTTCCTTACTCTTCATTCATTCTGGCCCCCTCATTTTCAATGTTGCTCCCAAGCCTCACTTCACAACACCGCCTCTTTAGTCCACCACTGTTCCCCTCTTTTCACTTGAGAGCAATGTGACCCTGTGTCCATTTTTGGTCCGCTGCAGGAGATTCACCCAAGTGAAGAGTCGCCCAGACGATACTGTAAAGTAGAAAATTGCCTGGCCACCGTGGAGAAAGAAAGAAACAGGGTCCAGCGACAGCGTTAATTACAGAACTGGTCTGTTGTTTTGACGTTTGGGTCATGCTAGGTCCACTGTAGATCGAAGCATCCCATTGTCAAAATAGCGCCAACAAAATGTGTTGGTTCGCCTGTGTGCTGTGAACATATGGAAGCATGTTGATTCACATTTCCATTCTCAAATGGTTTGCCCTTGTGTCCTATTTTGTCCTCGTCCTTCCCGTTGAAACCTTGGGCTGTCTGCAAGATTATGTCCTCGGGATCGACAAAGACTGTAGAGGGTGTGTAAAAACTCAAGGCTTGCAACCCTATCCAACGAAGGTCCAGGAAACTCATGTGGTGTGACAAGGACGGGGAGGAGGGGAAAAGTGGATGGAAGGCTGGCAAGGCGATGTTGGTAAATATTTGGAAGGCTTTGCGTAAAATGGGAGCTGGGCGAGATAGAAAGGGGATAGGAGTACGGATACAGAAGCATGGCCAGGTGACCGTTAGTTTTCTCACAAAGACATTTTGGCCGCCAGGTTGCCTTGTCAGAGCGGCGGAGGAAAATGTGTCTCGTCCGCCTTTGGCAGACCGCAGACCGCGTCTTCAAAATATGGCACTATTCTTATTATTCTTTTTCCCTTTTATGCACTCTCATTTTGTTGTTTCATATGTGCAAAAAAGAAAAGGAAATCTCCCGATACAATATGTATGCTAGAGCCAAAAAAAAGGACGGGGACAAAGCATGAAAGCAGAAGTTCCTGATAAAAAAGAAAAGGGTAAGAAATGGAAAGTTTGCAAAGGAAATGAAAGCAAATCGGAAACAAGCACGTCGTAGTCCGGCAGGAGTAGAGCGGTGAAAGAAAATCGACGTTCCCGACAGCATGGCCTCAACACGACGCAGGAAGCGGACGCACAGCTGCAAGATTGAGTGGGCGAAAAGGAAGAAGAAAAGAATACCTCGTCGAAGGCACCGTAAGGCGTACGAGTCGCAGGACTTTCCATGGGTGACAAATCGCTGGGGCCCATGTCTATTGATCGCTTTAGCTTTGAAATAGACGAGCAAGAAGAGAATAGGAGATGTTGATGAAAGAAGAAGGAAAAAAGGGAAAAGAAAAAGGAGTACATTTTGTACTAATTTCCAAATTTTGGTATTGTTTTACCCCTCATTTTCTTGGAAATAATAAAACCGAAAAAGAAAGGTACACATGGACTCCGTACGACGTACGACATTGTAGAAAATAAGAGTTTCCGGATGTGCAGAAACTCGAGCTGAACATGTGGCTTACAAGGCAACGCGATAATCCGTGGAAACCATCACGTACATATGTACTCTGTATGTCGCGGTGAGTTGTGCGTCTCAAAAAAGCAACCAAACCTGTTGGTTCATTGCCAGCCGCAGAACAGACAAGCTGCCGAATCATAAAGACAGACGCAATGGGTTAACTCTTGTCCTACCAACAATTTAGCTATAAATAATGTGAACGCGGCATGGATTTTACTGAACTTTTTTTTTTTTTCATGCGTTGCGGGCTTTCTCGATTACCAGACTTTTGTTACACCACGCAAATCAAACGATGCCAGGTCGAATTGCGTGTTCATTTGTTGCTCTAGATATCCAGCTCAGGTGGTGCCAACACTGCTATATGTATGCCACCCACATTTCTCAACCAGAAATATTCAATGTGCCATTCAGCCGCAAATCACGACTGCTGGCACCAATGTACAGGCGGAACACTCCCCGGCGAATCCGCCACTGTTGTGCCTCGACGTCCCACACGCTCAGATCGCGTCGTGTCAGTGCAAAAGTCACGTCGGACGTCTCACCCGGCGATAGCGGACCGACACGGTGGAAGCCGCGTAGCTGGCGGACGGGCGAGTCGCCTCCAGCCGCTGTCTGCGTCGCCGGATCGTCTCCATTTGCGCCCGGCACACCAACGTATAGCTGGACGACTTCGGTGCCAGCTACTCGGCCAGTGTTGGTTACGCTGCACTTGACCTCGGCTATGGTGTCCCAGAGGCTCGGATGGCCACCCTGAACAACCGGTACTGACGGATCAGGGAATTTGGATGGCGTTCCAGTAGGTACCAATTCAGCGGACAGAGAACGGCTATACGAGAATGTCGTGTACGAGAGGCCAAAGCCAAAGGGAAAGCGTGGCACGAGGCCCTTGTGGTCAAATGCACGGTAATCGATGTACAAGCCCTCGTCATAGTTGTCTTCGGGAAAGTAATCGGTCGAGTAGGACGAGTTCAGCAGGTCACCGTAGTCGGCCTCGCGGCGGGCAACGGTATAGGGGAGGCGGCCTGACGGGTTAACGTCTCCGTAGAGAATGTCGGTCAGACTATGGCCCGACTCCTGGCCCGGAAGGCCGGCAAACAGGACGGCAGTCACGTTGTCATGATCAATCCAGGCGTCCACGACGCGGATGCCGGCCGAATGGACAACAACAATGGTATTGGCGCACATGCTCGCGACATTGTTGACGAGGTTGTCGCTGAAGGCGTCGCTCAGACTGGGTCGGTCGAAGCTCTCAGACGCGTAGGCATTGATGAACACGAGGCAGGCGTCAGCGTTGGCGTACGCAACCGCGGGCTTTTCGGAGAAGAAGTCCCACCGCAGAATGCCGCCGTCCTGCACAACACGCTCCTGGAGAGCCTGGAACGGCGACACAACGTACGGAGGCGATGTTCCGCCCGAGCCACCGCCTGTGATGAGCGTGCCGTTCAGCGTGTTCCAGCCAAAGTTGACCTCGTAGCCGCCACCGAAGCGGGACGGGTTGTCCCATGGTTCTGCCTTGAGGACGGCATCGTAACCATAGACACAGAGGAAACGCGGCCGCTGCAACGGGAGCGTATTGTTGACATTTTTGACCAGCACGGTGCCCGCCGCACCGATCGTGCGGATCAAGGATGCGTGGTCAGCCTGGACATCGACGATTGGGCGCCGCTGCGTGCTTGTCGGATAGATTGCCGGCGGCGAGGGGAAGGTTGCGCCGCCCATGTCCGTCTCGCCGACGTAGTGCCAGGCTGCCAGCAGCCGCGTGGCCATGTCGTCGATACGCTCGACCGTGACAGAGCCGTTGCTGACGGCCTTCAGCAGCAATCCGTCGCCCCAGTAGCCCGTGCTGTCTGGCATGGCAATGTCCAGCCCGGCGAGGGCCGACGCCACGCCCGAGTGCTGTGCGTCCCAGTCGCTTATAACAAAGCCCTCAAAGCCGAGTTCTGTCTTGAGGATGCCGTTCAAAAGCTTTGAGTTCTGGCTTGCGTACGAGTGATTGGCCCGCTGGTACGAGCACATGATGGACGCGGCGCCGGCCCGCAGCGCGTTCATAAACGGAAACACGTAGAGCTCGTGCAGCGCACGGTCGTCGACATTGGAGCTGATGCCCTCGCCGACCACATGATCGCCGCGCTGCCGCTCTGCGTCCCGGCGACGGAACTCCTGTTCGTTGAGCAGAAAGTGCTTCGGCGTGGCGATGACTCCGGCCGACTGCATGCCGCGTGTGACGGCACCGACGGCAATTCCAGACAGGTAGGGGTCGTTACCGAGTCCTTCCCAGTTGCGGCCACCGCGGGCAATGCGGCCAAGAGGGCCAGACACGGGACCAAGGGCCGCATGGACGCCTTTCCCGTAAAACTCCTGGCCGACAGCCTCGCCGTAGCGATACATGAGGTCGGCGTCAAAGGTGGCGGCCACGTGGATGCCAGCCGGAAAGCCCGATACGAACTCCTGGCCGCGGACGCCAGTTGGTGCATCCGAGAAGCAGAACGAAGGCAGACCTAGACGTGGGATGGCCAATGAGTTGCCAGCACACGGTCCGGGTTGGCCGTGGGTGAGGTTGACCTTTTCCTCGAGCGTCAACTGCTCGACCAGGGCTCTAGCCTGCTGGTAGGCCCTAGCCCAGCGTGCATCGGTGGTGCCATTCCCTTGGGCTATGCGTTGTATGGAGTGATCAGTCTATGGTTGTGCTTATGGGGTCTCATGTTGAGATATGGACTTACGTGATGGGTAGACCGGTGGGCTTAGTCCATAGTATGGTATTTCCGACGGCGGTGATGCATCGCTTATGCTGCCTCCAGCACGACAGCCTCCTGAAAGGAAGAGCACCACGTATGACAAGGGTGAGATCTTCATGACGTCCAAACCGAGAGACTTGGAAGAGATGAAGAGCAGGCCCAATACTGCGACAACAAACGTGCAAACAAGCCAAAGGATCACGCGTGCCGTAAATCCATGTCTCTGTCTGCCTAAATATGACTGGCCTTCCCTCCGAAAATGCCTGCCGCCCTTCTCCCTAGAAAGAAGATGCGATGTCTCTGTAACTTCCTCGGTTTGGCGGTGTGGTTTGCAGGATGTTCCTGGTGAGCCTACCATGGCGGCGGCGGGTAATTTGTTTCCTTCTAGATGAATTCGGTAGTGTTTTCGAATGAAGGACATTCTCGAAAAAGCCAGGGCGGATCACCTAAATGGCTGAGGGAAGAGACGGGACGACATGACGCTGAACGGCTGCTTGTTTGGCGATGCACTTTGGTCTTTATTAAGTTGTAGGATGCGGATGTTGGATGCGGCCGGTAGAATCCCGGTAGTTCTTCAGTGGCCCTGTCCGACCGCTGAGCCAATGAAACGGCCTCTGTGACGCCGGCTTTAGCGGGGGAAGCGGCTGCAGTTCCCCGGCACTGATTCCTGTTTCCTGTCAGCTCACGTCTTGGAAGTGGGCATCCTCTGCACCGATAGTTCTTTCCCTTTCCCGTGAAAGGTACAAGCGCAGCCACAGTGCACCTTCCGGTTGGCTGAGCCCATCGTTTGTGCGTCGTATGCAAAAAGTCATCATTCGACGGCGTCCCGATATCGCGGAAAGTCTGCAGGCAGTGGTTGGTGGTTTGTATGGTATACGCGCAAAACTACAACATACTGCAATGCGTAAATGTCGGCTAGCGTCCTCTGGCGTAAGTGAGTGGCGGATACCTGCACAATTACAATATCAGGAATTGCCGTGAATTTCGCTGCATGGCTGATGGTCTCTGTTCTGCACCTGCCTCGCCGGGGCGACTCTGTCAAAAGTAATCCGGACGGCAGGCGCGGGTGACTGCCCTAACATAATGGGCGATCGCGATGAACAGGCCGTGACGAGACTGAAAGGGCCAGAACGACCGCGTGACACGAAGGCCAGTCGATCCTTCCACTTCTGCTTTCATTGCCACACACGCCCATTCTCCAACTGGCAAGATGTCAAAGCAGGGGAGGCACCTGGAACTATTTTGTATTGCCTGGAGCCTGGAAACAAGGGAAATGGGTGAAACGCACATCTCACCACATACCGAAGATTGACCACAAGGCGGGTGTGATTTCCAGAGAGTCGCCTTATTTGCCGTTTTCGGTGCGAATACCCCGCACCGGTCCACGACGGACCGGACGCGCCAACTGGAAATTAGCACCAAAACGCGCTCAAACGCGCTTTTCGCGTTTTGATTTTATTTGTTTACGTTCTTGCCGTTTTCGCGAAGTCCCACGAACCAGGTTTGCTCTTTCCATTATTGACGTGCTTGTTGGGGAAAGAGGGAAGGAACTTGGAGGGACAGAAGGTCAGACAGCACGTAGTACATATACGAAGCCACATGGGGAAGGAAACGATGAGAGCATCAAAAGGAACATCTACAAGAAAAAAATGAATTCCATCCACCATCCTCCACATTTTAGCCACTTCTTCGGCAGAACTGCGCAGATTAGAGAGAGAATACGACATGCGACAGGACTCTATGTGTATCAGTTGTTACTCAGCGAGCAACCTAAAGGTACGTATTAATTACTCCGCAAGTCAGATACGCGCCTGTGTTAGGAAGTAAACTCGTAACCCAAAATTTTAAATTTCAGAAAACGCTCCGGCCATCAGAGAGATCGGCAGAAGTTGACGATGCAATACTGTGTATGGCTGGTTTGGCCTTTAGAACAATAAACGCCACCGGTACGGAGTACATAGCGTGATACTTACTTCTTAGTATTCGTACGGCACGATGCAAGCGGGCCATGAAATACGATTCCTGATGCCCTTCAATCGGGACACACAACTTGTGTTTGTTTTTGAACACCCCCCTCCCCTCCTTTACAAGACCAAAGCAATCTACTCCAGGCACAGAATGTAACCTAAGGCGGGCCACAGCTACATTTTCGGGTCAGCACCAACGAGATTGGGCCCACGCACCGGGACTTGTACAAAGTTCTCATGGAGCGAAGCTTTTGGAATTTCTCGTTTCTCACTGTTCTGTCTGCCAAAGTCAAATCTTTCTTCCCCTCGTTCGAATGGCTACCTACGTCGTAGATTTCCGATGCCCAGACCGTTGCGGTGAACGTCACGCTTATCAACCAGGAAGAGGTCTGGGCTTGGAGAAATGCCCATCTTGCAAAGACTGCGAGTTTTGCGACGGCTTCAACGGTTTTCGCTTCGACTGTCAGCAACAGCGACCAGTAAAAAGACCAGGTGAAAACAAAACACTGTCCGCTAGGAAGACTTGTCCTGGCCCAAGGTCAGAAAGATGGCCTGTATCCCTCGGGCGAGGCTAGGCCAGGCCACGCGCAACTTTAATTACCGGCCAAGATGAGCCCGTTGTTTCTTATCCTCGCATCCCGGTTCTTTCAGAAGTGCTGTTCACTGTTCACTCCCCAAAACAGTACCCTGTCAGGATTGTCATTTCTGCCCCGCTGACTATGCGGATGGCGCCGGCAGCTTGCTGGGATTTGGTCAATTATCAAACTTGTTTTTTTTTTTTTTTTTTTTTTAAAGTCACATCGTATACGGAGCATGACATAAGATGCGCAGTGCAAGAGGCCCTCTGTCGATCTGTCGACACAACGGCTGTTTGATTGAAAGGCTCTTTCGGGCATGCTTGCCCGCTCTGCGAATTGGCGGCCCCGAAATCCACACCGAAAACCAAAGGCAGGCCCAACAGAACCCGCCTATGATGCTCCACTGAGTTCCGGGGTTTTGGTTGACGGTGCGTTGCAAAGGCCTGCTTCCTTCAAACCGGAAGGCCGATAAATCCTGATACAAAAATGGGATTTTCGGGATATGAGTTATGACTGTTGCTCAGAGAAATTTCTACAACTGGTGAAGCATGTCATCGAGATCCCAACGAGCGCATGAGGACATCGATACGAGCATGAGGATATTGATCAACGAAAGCTTTGTTTGAGACACATTTCCCCTCTTGTTCGAAATGAGCATTCGCGGGTTACTTTCATACGAACAATGAGTACAGCATCCACAGACTCCGTAATCTGATTTTTACACTTATTGCACTTCCCTTCGAGCCGTTTATTTACTTGATTTTTACCCGTATCTCGGAATTTCCTTTTGTGCTGTCCTGTTTGATGCTGTGCATTGCCCCTTTTCTCTGCGTTTGTGCCATCTAGCATACAAACGGTTTTGTTCCACTCCGCAGTCGAAACGAAGTCTCCCATGGAGGCTCTCGAGGGCTCTCAACTAAAGCAATAGATGCTATTGTCAGCCGCCTGACTTCAGCTCCGAAGAACACTGTCTAAACAAACCCCCACACATCTAGACAAGGCGAGTACAAGAGCCACATCCGAGGTGACTGTCACTGGCGTCCACCCCCTATTATCTTAGTTATGAAGTCTGTAACCTCTGCTTCCACCCCCTTTCTCTGCCGCCCCGTTCCTGAAGCTTGACTTCTTTGGGACTGGTTCATGAATAGCTAACCAGGGAATAGGACGCTAAATCGCTTCTCTTGTGCGTCCCATTGGTTCGCAGAAGGCTAACCGACCCGAATGGTCAGGACCACTCGATGCGCTAAAATGGTGTTGCAGTGGGTGTTTCTCAACTGCTTTTTTTTTTTTTTTGTTGTGTGTGTGTGTGTGTGTGTGTTGCTTGCTGCCAGATCCCTAACTCATAAAGGAGTAATTTCGGTGAGAGGAACTAGAAACCAGTCACGAGCAAAATCGAAAAGGTTCACGAAAGACCGTGCATGGACCATCCTACGACGCACGGAGTGCGGAGGGCATGACAGCCTGCTTCTCCCTACAGAGCGTACAGTGTCAACACAACCCGTGGTGGAAAAACCTTGCATGGAACTTTGATAGCCGAACGAGAGACCTACGTGCAGCTACTGCACCTGCCCAACGATTCCATGCCCCCATTCACCAGCTTTACACGATAGTCTCGCGCACAAATGAGAGAACCATGAAAAAGATGGGGTGGTATGTAATTACGTCGCACATCCGTATGCATCTCGATATCGTTGGTACGAAACGTGGTGCTACAGTGACCCTAGTTTGAAAATAATCTTGGGGGGATAAAAGGCGCAATCGTGCGGTAAAAGACGATGAGGCCAAGTGCAGCATGGTCGCCTTATGTGTTAGCTGAACGCACGCAATTACAGGGGCGTACGACGTACAGTATTCCGTGCTTTGTGCACCCTTATCTGGCGTACACAGGGCTCTCAGACCTGCGTCCTAAAGGCGATAGTGTATTAGCTGGCCACTGGCCACGCTGTGTTGGTCTCGACAGTTTTTTTTTATTTTATTTTATATTTATTATATATATATTTAATTTTGTGCTCCGTAACATAGACTGGCAATAACCAATACCTGGCGTTGTGTTCGCATGGTACAGGACGTGCAATGCAGATGTGACAAAACGGAAACGTTTAGAGGACACCGTGCCCGAATACACGATAAAGTATTTACTTACCACGGGTTACCCGTGGTGGCTACGGTAATCTGACCAAGCCATGTGGCCCCCAGATGCAGAATGGCTGGGATAAGACGGGAGCACTGAGACACCATTTTACAAACTTCTCGCTTTGCGACCAACCAGATCTCGTGGGAAGGGGAACGCAGGTTGTCGTACAGCAGAAGCAGAGTCATGGCGATGCAAGCACCAAAGAATCTCAAGAAATAGGAAGCACGATGCAGGGGACGGGGCCAGTGGCCATTTCGCGTCCGGCGCAGAGCACAGAGACGCAGTGATGATACTCTGTCGGCCGTTGCGGTTATTCTTTCATGTTTTGTGTTGTATACGATCAAGATTATTGTATTTCGAAGACCAGTTGGCTGTCTGATTTGGTCACTCTCCCTTGCTTCGTACAAGCCTCCAGATGACATCAGAAGTACGCCGCAGC